GTGTTATTGTGTGTTGCAGGTGTGTTAATGTGTGTTGTAGGGTGTGTTACTGTGTGTGTGTGTTGTGTGTTGTAGGTGTGTGTGTGGTGTGTGTTATTGTGTGTGCAGGTGTGTTATTGTGTGTTGCAGGTGTGTGTTGTGTGTTGTAGGTGTGTGTTATTGTGTGTAGGTGTGTGTTATTGTGTGTTGCAGGTGTGTGTTACTGTGTGTTGTAGTGTGTGTTATGTGTGTTGCAGTGTGTGTTATGTGTTGAGGTGTGTGTTATTGTGTGTTGTAGGTGTGTGTTATTGTGTGTTGTAGTGTTATTGTGTGTTGCAGGTGTGTTATTGTGTGTGCAGGTGTGTGTATTGTGTGTTGTAGGTGTGTGTTATTGTGTGTTAGGTGTGTGTATTGTGTGTTGCAGGGTGTGTTACTGTGTGTTGTAGGTGTGTGTTATGTGTGTTGCAGGTGTGTGTTATTGTGTGTTGCAGGTGTGTGTTACTGTGTGTTGTAGGTGTGTGTTATTGTGTGTTGCAGGTGTGTGTCATGTTGTTGCAGGTGTGTGTTATTGTGTGTTGTAGGTGTGTGTTATTGTGTTGCAGGTGTGTGTTATTGTGTGTGCGGTGTGTTATTGTGTGTTGTAGGTGTGTTATTGTGTGTTGTAGGTGTGTGTTATTGTGTGTTGTAGGTGTGTGTTATTGTGTGTTATGTGTGTTGTGTGTGTGTTACTGTGTGTTGTAGGTGTGTGTTATTGTGTGTTATTGTGTGTGTAGGTGTGTGTTAGGTGTGTTATTGTGTGTTGCAGGTGGTTATGTGTGTTGTAGTGTGTGTTATTGTGTTGTAGGTGTGTACTGTGTGTTGTAGGTGTGTGTTATTGTGTGTTGTAGGTGTGTGTTACTGGTTGTGAGGTGTGTTATTGTGTGTTACTGTGTGTTGTAGGTGTGTGTTACTGTGTGTTGTAGGTGTGTGTTATTGTGTGTTGTAGGTGTGTTACTGTGTGTTGTAGGTGTGTGTTACTGTGTGTTGTAGGTGTGTGTTACTGTGTGTTGTAGGTGTGTGTTATTGTGTGTTATTGTGTGTTGTAGGTGTGTGTTATGTGTGTTGTAGGTGTGTGTTATTGTGTGTGTTATTGTGTGTTGTAGGTGTGTGTTATTGTGTTGTAGGTGTGTGTTATTGTGTGTGCAGGTGTGTGTATTGTGTGTTATTGTGGTTGTAGGTGTGTGTTACTGGTGTTGTATGTGTGTGTTATGTGTGTTGTGTTATGTGTGTTGCAGGTGTGTGTTATTGTGTGTTGCAGGTGTGTGTTACTGTGTGTTGTAGGTGTGTTATTGTGTGTTGCAGGTGTGTGTTACTGTGTGTTGTAGGTGTGTTATTGTGTGTTGCAGGTGTGTGTTATTGTGTTGTTGTGTGTGTCTCTGTTACTGACCCTCTCTCTGTTTCCCCCCCGCAGTGTGAACGCTCCTTCAGACTCAAACACAACAAACCCCGCCCCTTCCGCCCCGCCCCTGAGACTCGAGGAGTGAGCGTGATTAACGAAAAAGAACGGGTAAATAGCTCCTCCCTGTATCCATGCTGACCTCTGACCCCTGCTCCTCTCTGTTCATCCTCCTGTAAACCTGCCCGCCTCCTTCCTGTCAAGTTTCTCTCTGAAATGATGGAACTTGTTTCTGTTTCTCATCACTGTGCTGGTTGGGCTCTGTCTACGTCCTGGATGTCTCTGTTTCCTCTGCTGCAGTTTCCTGTCTTACGTCTTCTGTTTATAGATGCAGCCAGAGGTCATCTGGGTTCATCCAGGGAGACCTCTTGACCCTTCCAGGGTCAGCAAATATTAGCTTCAGGCAAATATCAGGATTTTACTTCAAATATGGAAAAAAGGAACATGAAGTTGAGTTTCACACATTCTTCTGGTTGCATTCTTAGAACATGCAACCCATTGATGGATCCCCCTGATGGATCCCCCTGATGGATCCCCCTGATGGATCCCTCATTAACCAACGGGGCATTCTGCTGCTTTTTGGGCCCCAAGAATCTCAGGGAGTAAACTGGACCTGGGTCCGGTTAAAATCAGTTTTAACTGACTTTGTGCAAGAAATTTTTAAATTCTATGAGCAAGATGAGATATGAAGGTTTGGCTGCACAGTATTAGAGGAGAAATATTTATTGGCAATAATCTTAGCAAATATTGTGATCAAATTAAAATACAAAATACTACTATAAATTAGAGTTCTTTATCTTTAACATGCATAACAATGTCAGTTTACATAAAATAAACTAACCAATTGTAGCTGTTTATTCAGCGTTTATTAATATAAATGTTCCTAGATTCCTTTACAGCAGTCCTATTATTATAAACAATAAAAAACTGCAGTAAGTAATTTCCAGACCATCAAACTGTCCCAGTCTGCTTCCGTAGATAAGATAAAGCGGCTCACAGATGGATAAACCTGCGTGTTTGGGAGGAGAAGAACCTGCCTCCTGATTGGCTGGCAGTCGGCAGATCTCTCCACTCTGAGAGGAGCTGTCTGATTGGCTGAGATGCTTCCCTCCCTCCTGCCCCTGCTGCGGTATGCCGTACAGTGGAGCTAACACACGGCTGATGCTATCTCAACACTTTATCACGGCGGTTCTAAACTCCACTTTGCTCCACCGCAAACAGACAGTCAATGTGTAACCGAACCGGGCCGGGAGGGTGAAGGGGGTGGAAGACAGAAATAAAAGATGGAGGCAGGAGAGGTGGAAAGCTGGTGTCTGTCAGTCTGGGGCGCAGAGGAACCGAGGAGCAGAACCTGCCAGCTCGGTTTCATAAGAGACAGTTAACAAGTTTGGGCAAAGTCCTGCCGGGAGACAGGAGCGGAGGATGGGTGATGGCAGCTGAGTTTTAGCTGGAGGCCTCTGAGGGGCCTGTCGGCCAGGCCGGCCGGGCGGGTCAGCGGGAAGCTCCATCAATCACATGAGGGAAGCAGCGAAGCGTCTCTGTGACTCCCGAGAGTGTCAGCTTCCTGTTGCGGTCGAGAATTTGAGAAACAGAAAGATAAAGAGAGAGATGTTCTTTCAGTTTCTGCTGCTGGATTCAAAGACGGCGGCAGCATCGCTTGTCACGACGCGGCCGGTTGTAGCTTTCTAAATTTAGCTTCACCCGTCAGTTATTCACCCGGCCTCGCTACATTAATGCGCCACAGAAATGAGCCGCTGCTCTGAAACTTGAGGCTGAAACGTTGGATTGGTTCCTGTTTTAACAGTTAACTGTTTTACAGAGATAGTTGTGTAGAGGCGACAGGTTAAGTTAGCTTAAACTATTACGTTAATCCAAAATGCATCAGGGTTAGCTAATTAGCAGTGGCTAGGCTAATTAGCGTAGCAGCTCAGTGGTGGGAGCTATTTTCTGGATTAAACTTAACATAAAATAGTCATTTTGATGTTTTAGTGTAAAATTATATAGATATATGAATATTATAATTATTGCAACAATCAACGAATAAGCAAATTATTAAATTAACAAATTGTTTATACTTCCAAGGATAACATTTAGTTAATTAGTGACGTTTTGGTTGCTCAGCTGAACCTGGTTTCTGCTAAAAATAGTATTGTTGGGTTTATATTTATTGTAATATATCATTGATATAATTCCTACAACAGTCAAGAAATAAAGTATGATAATAAATCTTTTAAACGTTGCTGCATCAAGGCTGAGCTAATTAGCAAAGCAGCCCAGTTTTAATGTAGTTTTTGTCTCTTGTAACAAAAAGAAATATGGTGTAAATTCACAAAACTTAGTGTTATTTTTTTGTTGAAAATGGGCAGAGGATTTATCCTGTGGTCTGATAGAATCATAATCATAACTTTAGGGTTACAACTACCTATTAGCTTTGCTGAAAGCTGGTTTTATGTTTTTAGCATTAATATCTCAGTGAAACAAAGATATATGATGAATAAAATGCTTTCAGTCCAGGACGAAGTGTTCCAGTAAAAAATATTAAAGTATTTTCTATCGGACTGGTGTTAATGGGCTGAAGATTTATGTTCCTAGTAAACATGGAGAGACATTCAACTTCACAGCTAATCTCTGGAGAGAGAAAACAAAACCTCAGATTTAGAATGTTGTTTTTTCTGCGTTAATCCTGACTTTAAATCAAATATATTCATCGTAAGCGGTATTAAACCGCGGCAGCGTAGCATTCTGGTGGCCGACGTGTTGCTGTGATGCCTGGATGCATAAATCTGGAGCAGTGGGAGTTTGTTGTGTTTGATTCCCAGGTCGTATCTGCCAATCTGAAACAGTGATGGATGTTCAGATGAGGACAGAGACAGTTAGCCTGAGGTAATAAATAGCCAACATATGGTGAGTGGATCCTGTCCTCCCCCACTCCTCTATCTGTCTCACCATACATCCCTCCATTGCTGCGCTCTCACTCTGCCAAGCGCTGTTAACCGACACCAGATATCCACCTCGCTTCAGCCGCCATGTAAAAGCAGACGGAGGGAGTTAAAATAAAAGACTGCAGCAGCACAAATTTATTGGGCTGAGAGCGAGTCGGCAGCACACAGCCAATCACACGGCCGCTTTTATTTCTGTCGAACTCTGGGCGAATGAAGAGGCTGCAGAGGATTTATAGGCTTTCTTCCCCTCCTCAGCTCTCCATCCTTCCTTCCATCTCCGTCATCCCTCTGTCCCGCCTGTCACAGAGTTACATCCTCACACAGGTGCCTCTCAGCAGGAGGCGGGACAGGAAGCCTTCGCCCTCAGTTTGGGCTGCAGGCGCCGTTTCCAGATGCTCTGCTGCATTTTTACCAACAGACTGGAACATCGAGATTCAGCTAAATTAACTCTTCTGATCACTTTCTTTAAACCATAATCAATAATTAATATTTGTGTTGAAATACTTAATATTTTTGTGCCTTTTTTGTAGGATTTATTTACATAAACTTTTCAAACTCTTTTCCTTCGTTTTGTTTCAGTGTCTGGAAACAGATTATCTGCTCTGACTGGATCAGGAATTGGATTATTAATAATTACAATAATCCAACATTATTACTGGATTATAAAAGGCCAGAACGTTATTTGGTCCTGAAAGGGTTAATTCAGATCAGACCGCCCACTTTATCACTTTCCCTAAAATGTCTCAACCCGGCCCGGAGCCGAGTCCGACTGACACAGATCGCTCCTTTTACTCGCCGACTCGCTCGCTGTGACCTTTTTCCAGCTTTTGCAGGGATGTGCAGGAATGTTGGAGCGTCAGCGCTCTGTGTGAGTGAGTGAGTGTGTGTGTGTGTGTGTCGCAGTGAGAGCTGACGGCCGGGAACAGATGTAGTAACATCAGCTCTCTCTTGCTGCTGCTGGAGTCGGAACCACCGGTTTGGGTTTAAGCTCCTTTTCAAAGCAGAATCATTTCAGAACATTAGCCTGGTCCAAACCTGGTCCACACTGAACCAAACAGCACTTCTCTGGCCCTTTGACACATGAAACATAAAATCACTTTAACAACATGAAGTCAACCATCTTAGCCGTGGTTCTGGTTCCTGCAGCAGCTCTGCATCTTAAACGAGGTTCTGGATCTTGGCTCCCCTCACCGTCGTCTGCAGGGCTCTGAGGAAAAGTTCAGCCAGTTAAAGTTACTAAAAGTTTTCTATTTAAAGCCTCAGGGGCTCTAAAAGTTGCTGAAGTTGTTCTTATTGTATATTTCTAAAGTTTGCAGCTAATTAGCAGCAGCTATGCTAGTTAGCATAGTTAAAGTATTAATCTGATAATTCTGGTGTAAAATATAATTAATATTATAATAAATGAATAAACAAAGCATCTCAATGACCTTCATTGTTTTACTGCAAATATTATTTAAATAATAAACAAAATATTCAAATTCAAAAAATACTTTATTGATCATTTAAGAAATTAAATGTTGTCAGAACGGGTCTGGAGCCAGTTTCATCCTGATCCAGTTCAGTTCACAACAGAATCAGAACCGGGTCCAACTCAACCCAGTCCTGTGAGCAGAACCTCCCCAGCGTTCAGTGGACCTGAACCCGGCTAAAGATCCAGATGGGATCATTTCCATCCCGACTCTGAGGGAGGGAGAGGTTCTGGATCACAGGAAGTTCTGGACCGCGTGGCGATCAGAACCGTCTCCTCTTCAGCTCCAGGCTTCCTTCCTGTCGGAGCGAGGAACAGCGACTTCCTGTGGGGGCAGCCCAACAGGAAGCAGTAATTAGCTGCTGCTGGGTAGAGCCAGGTGTGGAGGCCTGACCCGGTCCGGTCCGGTCCAGACAGAAAACACAGAATGTTGATCAGAGGGAAGGTTTTCCCTGGGAATGTTGGGAATGCTGCACCTTTCCAGACTGCGGCGTGACTTCCTGTCTGACTTCCTGTCTGTTCTCCTTCCAGCCATCATGGAGAACCCAACAGAGGAGCCGCAGGAGGAGGGCGGAGCCAGCAGCGAGGCCACCACGGAGGAGGCGGAGCTACAGGTCCAGGCTGCACACACCAACCTGGAAGGTAGGCAGCCGCACGGCGTCACGAGACGCCATGATGGCGTCTGGCCTCCATCGTGGCGTCTGCAGCGCAGCAGGAAGTAACGGTCTGGTTTCTCAGCAGCGATCAACAGAGCGTCTGACGGAGCGAAGGAGGCGGCGAGTGAAGGAGAAGCACTCCAGAATGGAGAGCGAGGAGGAGGAGGAGGAGATCTGTCCTCCATCAACGCCATGATGTCCACTGTGATGTCAGCAGCCGGGACCATCAATGGAGGAGGAGGAGGAGGTGATGAAGGAGGCAGCGGCGTCACCTCGGCCAACTCCTCAGCTGGACCGTCTCCCAGGTGATTCCAGATGTTCTGCACACCTGCAGGTTGTTGTACGCCCGTCGCCTCCTGATGAAGATCAACCTCATCCTCCATGTTGTAGCGGATATAAATATTCCTCATCATTATTATCATGAATTAAAAATAATTTACAATAATACTCAGCAGCAATTGATTAATTCAGTTTATGAAATATTTTAATTTTATTCATTTTAATATTTTTCTTAATAGGTTGTTTGGTTATATAAATAATTGCATTTTTGTTTTATTCCGTATATTTAAATATTATATATTTTCTTTAAATTATTTTAATGTTTTTGATCAAAGTTTATATTTTTTAATAGAAGAAAATTAAATACAATTATTCAGAGTTTCTGTCTTTAAAATAAAATAAATATTTTCTCTCATGTTCAGGACGTTTTGCTGCCTGATTAGTTTTTGAACATAGATTTATAATTTTATTAAATTTTCCCTTTAATCGCTGAATCAGCAGAAAGTTGGTGCATTTCCTGTAATGATCTGTCAGCTGCTGCCTTGCTTCAGGGAATCCAACCTGCAGCATCTCAACCTTCTTCTGTCTGCAGCCCATCGCCCAGCAAGTCCCTGACGGCCGCCATGCGGGCGCCGCCCAGCCGCAACGCCCGCCGCAACCAGGTAGGCCCGCTGGCCCCGCCCTCTCCCATCATGCAGCGGGGCATTCCTGCTGCCGTCAGGGCTTCCTGTGGCTTCAACAGGAAAAGGAAGTTCTGGCTGCATGTGTGTGTGTGCGTGTGTATGTGTGTTAGTGTGTGTGTGTGTGTGTGTGTGTGTGTGTGTGTGTGTGTGTGTGTGTGTGTGTGTGTGTGTGTGTGCGTGCGTGTGTGTGTGCGTGTGTGTGTGTGAGCAGTAATCTGCAGAGATTGTTTGGTCAACGTTTCCTCAGAGTTCAGCGGCTCAGTGAGGCGTCTGTCCTCCGGTAGGGGACGCATCCTCATGGGGGAGGTTCTGATGGAACCACTGAGGTGGTTCTGATGTACCACTGAGGTCCATCAGAACCAGTAGCACCAGCTGAACCAGTAGGACCGTCTCACGCTGCTCTGATGTTTCCAGGACTCCAAAGACGACGGCTCGGCCTTCATCTGCCCGCTCTGCGACAAGAACTGCCAGACGCAGCACCAGCTCACCATGCACATCCGACAGGTAGGCCCCGCCTCCGCAGGTCCGACCCACACACACCGACACATTCTGACGCACTCTCCTCCGCCCGCAGCACAACGCGGACGCCGGCGCCACCGACCACTCCTGCAGCATCTGTGGGAAGTGTCTGAGCTCGGCTTCGTCTCTGGACCGACACATGCTGGTCCACAGCGGGGAGCGGCCCTACAAGTGCACCGTCTGCGGCCAGACCTTCACCACCAATGGCAACATGCACCGGTACAGACACACACACACAACACACACACACACACACACACACCACACACACACACACACACACACACACACACACACACACACACAGCAGGGCCAATCAGAGCGGAGAACAGTCTCCAGCCCAGCACAGAATCGTCCTGGTTGTTTCCAGCTGCTGCAGCCTGAGGCGATGGGGGAGACAGGAAGTGGGCAGCAGATTCAGATCCAGCCGCCATCACACCCACCAGAGCTCCACCCGGCCAATTATCGGCCGGGGCCGACGACCCGTCAGGCTGCAGGAAGAGGCCGGGTCCAGAATCGGCTCTTAGTAACCAGTAGCGGGTCCCAGCAGCTGTCCCAGTCCTCCCAGTCCTCCCAGCGCTCCCTGTTGGCAGCGCTGTGGTTCTGAGGGTTTCTGTCGGCCTGCTGGCCGTGGGCAGGAAGGAATGACGGAGGCTGACAGACACACAGCCGTTATTCTGCTCCAACACCGCGATCTGTTACCGTCATGGAATCAGACTTTCAGTTCAGATCTGAAGGCCGAACCACGATTAGAGTAAAATATTTAATAAAAGGAAAGGAGGAGGAGAAGGAACAACTCAGGAGAAACAGCAGATAAACCCGACAAGTCAGCAAAAAGCAGCAGAGACGCTGCAGCAGGAAGAAACTTTACAACAAGAATGAAAGCAGAGAAAGAATCAGAAAGAGGATTCACTGAACAAGAATCTGTTCATTTCATCAAACATTTATACAAAATATCTTCAATAACAGCTTATCAATGACAGCTTATTGATAACAGATTATTGATAACATCTTATCAATGACAGATTATTAATATCAGATTATCAATAACAGCTTATCAATAACAGATTATTGATAACAGCTTATCAATAACAGCTTATCAATGACAGATTATTAATAACAGATTATCAATAACAGCTTATCAATGACAGATTATTAATAACAGATTATCAATAACAGATTATCAATAACAACTTATCAATAACAGATTATTGATAACAGCTTATCAATAAGAGCTTATCAATAACAACTTATCAATAACAGATTATCAATAACAGATTATCAATGACAGATTATTAATAACAGATTATCAATGACAGTTTATCAATAACAGATTATCAATAACAGCTTATCAATAACAGATTATCAATAACAGCTTATCAATAACAGCTTATCAATGACAGATTATCAATAACAGCTTATCAATGACAGATTATCAATAACAGATTATCAATAACAGATTATCAATAACAGATTATTAATAACAGATTATCAATGACAGATTATTAATAACAGATTATCAATGACAGATTATCAATAACAGCTTATTGATAACAGATTATCAATAACAGCTTATCAATGACAGATTATCAATAACAGATTATTGATAACAGATTATCGATAACAGATGATCAATAACAGCTTATCAATAACAGCTTATCGATAACAGATTATCAATAACAGCTTATCGATAACAGATTATCATAACAGCTTATCAGTAACAGTTTATCGATAACAAATTATCAATAACAGATGATCAATAACAGATGATCAATAATAGGTGATCAATAACAGCTCCATTAGTTTGACGTCACTGATCTTCATAGCAGAAACAGGAAATAAAGTCGTAGTTTGCTGTAGTTTGATCTGCAGGGCAGCAACAGACAGGAAGTATCAGACATTATAAACCGATTTAATAACAGCAGAGGGGCTGATGGGTAATGTAGTTCCCTAGCAGGCTGCTGGCAGAGCACAACATGTGGAAACATCGTCTGCTTTGAATGTTTAAGGCTGAGAGATGAAAACTGATGGAAATGTTTCCTCTGGTCCACTGGTCACCAATCCTTCCTCTTCCTTCTCCTGTTCATCCTCCTCTTCCTCCTGCTCATCCTCCTCCTCTTCCTCCTGCTCATCCTCCTCTCCTCCTCTTTTTGCTCCTCTTCCTCTTCCTCTTCCTCCTGTTCATCCTCCTCATCCTCCTCTTTTGCTCCTCTTCCTCTTCCTCTTCCTCCTGTTCATCCTCCTCATCCTCCTCTTTTTGCTCCTCTTCCTCTCCTCTTCCTCCTGTTCATCCTCCTCATCCTCCTCTTTTTGCTCCTCTTCCTCCTCCTCTTCCTCCTGTTCATCCTCCTTCCTCTTCCTCCTCATCCTCCTCCTCCTGCTCCTCTTTTTGCTCCTCTTCCTCCTGCCCATCCTCCTTCCTCTTCCTCCTCATCCTCTTCCTCCTGCCCATCCTCCTTCCTCTTACTCCTCATCCTCTTCCTCTGCTCATCCTCCTTCCTCTTCCTCCTCATCCTCTTCCTCCTGCTCCTCTTCCTCCTGCTCATCCTCCTTCCTCCTCATCTCTTCGTCCTGCTTCTCTTCCTCCTTGTCCTCCTCCTTCTTCCTCTTCCTCCTCCTGTTCATCCTCCTCCTCTTCCTCCTCATCCTCTTCCTCCTGCTCCTCTTCCTCCTGCTCATCCTCCTTCCTCCTCTTCCTCCTCCTCCTCCTCTTCCTCCTGCTCATCCTCCTCCTCTTCCTTCTCCTGTTCATCCTCCTCTTCCTCCTCCTCATCCTCCTCCTGTTCATCCTCCTTCCTCCTCTTCCTCATTCTCTTCCTCCTTCTCCTTCCTCTTCCTCCTCCTCATCCTCCTCCTCTTCCTCAATGTTTTCTCAGGTCTTAACTTTCTTCCTGACTCTTCTGTCAGTCTCACTTTCCTCTCAACTTTTTTATGTTTCCATCCCTCCTCTCTCCCTCTCTCTCTCGCTCGTTCTCTGCTGACTCTGCGAGTTTGCTGCTCTCTGATTGGACGGTTCAGGGGTCATGGGTTTGTTTGCAGCAGCCTCTGCTCCCTGATTGGGCCCCCGCCTCCCTGCGTTCTGATTGGTTGATGAGCGTCTTCCTGTCAGCTGCTCCAGATCTGCTGACTGACTATCAGGACCTCTTATGGTCGTCCAGCCGGCTGCCTGAGGCCGCTATTAATAGCTGACACCTCGGAGCCCCTCTGCCTCTTTTTACTCATCTTCCTCACTGGTTTCTAGCAACCTTCCTCACCTTCCTCTCCATCTCCTTGTGTCCTTTGTTTCTTGCTCCCTTTTTGTCTCCTCAATATTTCTATTCTGTCCTTCCTCTGTCTCTTCATCTCAGTCACAATCTGCTGGCTCCGCCCACCATGCTGGCTCCGCCCACCATGTTTTCCCAGAGTTTCTCCTGCAGCTCCTTCCTGATGAAGATGATGACCTTTGACCTCCTCTCCCCCTCAGGCACATGAAGATCCATGACAAAGACCCGGCCAGCGGCCTGGTGCCCCTCAGCAGCCCCCCGTCCCCCACCAAGCGCCGCCGTCCCTCCATGAAGCGGCGCCAGGGCCTGGAGGACGACCTCGGAGACGAGCCGCCCGCCAAGAAGGTAAGAGCCGCGTTCCTCCTGCCGGTCCGCCCGGCGCCGCTCAGGGAACCAACAACCCGGCTCTGTGTCCAGGTGACGGAGGAGGGGGGGGCGGACGAGTCGGCGGCGCTGCCGGGGGCGGAGGAGGAGCTGCTGCCGTGTCCCATCTGCTTCAAGACCTGCAGCTCCAGACTGGACCTGGACGCCCACATGGACACGCACCCGGACACCATGCTGAGGTACGGAGGCACCAGTTACAGTCGGGTCGGGTTGGATTCTTCAGACCCCATCTAAACTCACGTTCTGCTCCAGAACCGGCCCAACGAGTCCGTGGTTCTGCTGGGTTCCTTTCACATTCAGATGTGCTGTGTTGAAAGATGGTTGGATGTTTAGTTGGATGTTTGGTTGGATGAGGAAGTTGGGTAAAAGGAGGAGGCACTCTGACAGGCTGTGTTGTCATTCATGGACAAAGAAACTAGAGATGGAGGGATGAGAAACTGGAAGCAAGAAAGTGATGGTCAGAATAAATTGATGAAGTGATGATAAAAGGAGGAAAAAATAATGAATAGAAAAGAAAAGCTGGAAAGAGGTCAGCAGGCGGCGCTGAGCTCGTTATGGAGGGAGGAGAATATTTAGAGGTAAATCCTCGTTAATCAGCCAGTAAGAGGATCGACTGGAGGAATGGAGGGAGACGAGGAAGGATGGAGTCGCGGTTTAATGGAGCAGCAGGAGGAGAAAGAATTTCAAACTTTTGAGGATCGAACTCCTGATGTTCCGGTTCGGTTCTGCTGGTCCGGTTTCAGTTCCAGGACCTGGTTCTGCAGCTCAGTCCGTTATCAGGTGCTGATATCAGATGCTGTTGGCTGTTTCATGCAGCAGAACCCATCCAGGATCCAAATGTTTCCAGGAACTGGAACCAAACGGGTCATAAAGCTGAAGAGATGAACTGGTACTGGGTTAATGTCCAAATCATTGCTAAAGAATCGTTACAGAGAGTAAAGACCAATGACTCCGCCCACTGCCCCCTAAACACACCCTGACTCCACCTATTGCCCCCTAAACACACAATGACTCCACCCACTGCCCCTAAACACACCCTGACTCCACCCACTGCCCTAAACACACCCTGACTCCGCCCACTGCCCCTAAACACACCCTGACTCCACCCATTGCCCCCTAAACACACTCTGACTCCACCCACTGCCCTAAACACACCCAGACTCCACCCACTGCCCCTAAACACACCCTGACTCCACCCACTGCCCCCTAAACACACCCTGACTCCACCCACTGCCCTAAACAAACCCTGACTCCGCCCACTGCCCCTAAACACACCCTGACTCCACCCATTGCCCTAAACACACCCTGACTCCACCCACTGCCCCCTAAACACACCCTGACTCCACCCACTGCCCTAAACAAACCCTGACTCCACCCACTGCCCCCTAAACACACCCTGACTCCACCCACTGCCCCCTAAACACACCCTGACTCCACCCACTGCCCCCTAAACACACCCTGACTCCACCCACTGCCCCTAAACAAAGATGTTCAGATTTAAATCTAATTCTGTCTGGTTTCTGCTCGCCAGGTGTGATCTCTGCTGCCTCTCTTTCCGGACACACCGTGGACTGCTACGGCACAACGCGGCGGTCCATAAGCTCCTCCCCCAGGACCCCAGTGGCCGCCCCTTCATTCAGAACAACCCCTCCATCCCCACCGGATTCAACGACCTGGCCTTCATCGACTTCTCCTGCAAGAAGTTTGCTCACATTGCTCAGGTGCGTCCCGCCGTCCCGTGGTCGGTCCGGCTCCACCTCGCCATGCCACGGCCCCGCCGGCGCTCTGACCCGTCCGTCTGTCCGTCCCTTCAGGTGTGGTGTGAGACCAACCTGCGGCGCTGCATCAGTAAGTTCCACCGCTTTGTCTGCGACTCCTGCGACAAGGCGTTCCCACTGCGCTCCGCCCTGGACCTCCATAAGACCGCCTCCCACCCGGACCGACCCGCTGAGGCCGCCGAGAAGCAGAAGGAGAACAGAGAGGCGCGGGCCGACGAGGAACGCCAGGAAGCGGGGAAGCCACCATCAGAGCAGAGCAGCTTCCTGGAGGCCCTGGGCCTGCAACACTTCTCCAAGGTTTGCTCCTCTCCTGCTTCCTGAGGCCCAGAGCTGCCGGTTCTGGTTCTGATGCCAATGTTCTCACGTTGCAGGTGAAGTCCGGTCCGACCGACGACGAGATCCATCAGGCCCACCTGGACAGCATCAAGGTGATCCACGTGGAGCCTCCATCCTTCAGCCTCCCTCAGGAGTCGGCGTCGGCCTTGCTGTCCGGCGGCCTGGGCGTGGCCCTGGGTCTGGGCGGCCTGGCGGCGCTCAGCATCCCGCTGCTGGAGGCGTCCGGCTCCGCCCTGCAGGGCCTGTCGCACCGGGACGCCCTCAGCCTGCTGTCGCTGCAGCCCTTTCAGGCCGGCTTCCTGCTGCAGCCGGAGGGAGGCGCCGCCACCGCCGGCACCGCCTCCTCCAGCTGCAAACCAGGAGAGTCCGGCGGCTCCGGAGTCGTGGAGCTGGCCGACATCCAGCAGATCCTCAAGGTGGCCGCCGCGGCGCCCAACCAGATGGGGCTGCCTCCGCTGGCCAAGGCGCCGGGCTTCACAGGTCGGTCCCTCACCAGCTTCTCCCAGTCTGACCTCCATACTAGTTCTTCTCTCTAACTGGTTCCGTCCTCCAGGTCAGCTCTCGGGTCAGAAGGCGATGCCACCGCTGAAGCCCAAGCCTCCCATCAGCCCCCGCTCCAGCCTGAGCACCACCACCCCGCCGCCCCTGCAGAGCTCCCAGCAGGCCTCACTGGGCTGCATCAGCCCCAGCCTGCCTCCGCCCACTCCCTCCATCTTCAAGACGCCCTCCTCTTCCTCGGCTCACATGGAGGCCGAGTCGATGGGCGACGCCAGCACGCCGCTGTCCGACTCGCCGCCCACCGCCACCACGCCGCTCCAGGAGGAGGCGGGGCTAAGCGTCAGGAAGGCGGGTAGCAAAGCGGGGAGCGCCGCCTCGGCTAAAGGCTCGTTCCCCTGCCGCTTCTGTGACCAGGTGTTCGCCGTCTCCGGCGCCCTGCAGGCCCACATGCGCTTCCACCTCGGCATCCTGCCCCACCAGTGCAACATGTGCGACTACGTGGCGCCGGACAAGGCCACTCTGATCCGCCATCTCCGCACGCACAGCGGCGAGCGGCCGTACGTCTGCCGCATGTGCCACTACCCTTCACTGTCAAGGCCAACTGCGAGCGCCACCTCAGAAAGAAGCACGCCAAGACGTCCAGGAAGGACATCGAGAAGAACATCAAGTACGTCACATTCAGCAGCGGCGGCGGCATCACCGCGGCAACCACCACACAGGAAGCGGAGGCGGGCTGCGAGACCACCTGCCGGTTCTGCGGCGAGGACCTGAAGACGTACCGCGCGCTGCAGATCCACCTGCGCACGCACAACGGCTGCCAGAGGAAGCCGTTCGAGTGCCGGCGCTGCGGCGCCGCCTTCCTGGCCAAGCGGAACTGCATCCACCACCTGCTGAAGCAGCACCCAGAGGTCCAGGAGCGCGAGATCGAGGGCCACATCACCACGCTGCTGCCCTCCACCGCCGCCGGCGCCGCGCTCAACGGCCTGGGAACGGTGAAGGCGGAGGAGCTGGTGTTCCCGGCGGAGCTCGACCAGCCGCTCGACTTCTCCGCCAAGGGCCGGAGCAGCCGGACGGCGTCTCCGGCCATCAAGACGGAGAACGCCTCGCACGGCTTCGACAGCGCCGACCCGGACCAGCCCATCGACCTGTCCATCCCCAGCAAGCGTCAGCGCCGGGAGGCCGGCGGCGGCACGGAGCTGAAGACGGAGCAAAGCGCCATCGTGGAGCAGCAGCTCGCTGCGTCTCCAGAGGAGAAGGCGGCGAGCGGCGTTCTTCCTCTGCAAGCTCCGCCCCCACCGGGCTGCTACCAGCTGCCTCCTCCCGCCGGCCGGGTGCAGCGCCTCAAACCGCTGCTGCCCAAGCCCTCCGCATCCTCGCCGCCTTCGGTGAAGGATCTGGCGCCGCTGGCCTCCATCGCTCAGATCATCAGCTCTGTGTCCGCAGCGCAGGGCATGCTGGACGGCGCCGCCCAGACCACAGCGCCGTCCTCACAGCATGAGGGCGAAGCCTCCGGACCCGCCGCCCTGGAGCCGCCCAGCGACGACGTGTCTGAAGGATCCTCCAGGTACTTCCCCTTCTTCTGCCAAACTTCGCCACCATCGGCAGCGTCTGACTCTTCCTCTCCTCACAGGCGGCGGGCGCGGAAGAAGCCAGCCGCTCTGGCGATGAGGGAGAAGGCAGTGAGCGGCGGCATCGACCTGGAATCCAGCGGGGAGTTCGCCAGCGTGGAGAAAATGCTCGCCACGACCGACGCCAACAAGTTCAGCACCTACCTGCAGACCGGGGCGGCTGAGCCGGCGAAGAGGCCCGAGACGGCGCCGGCGGCACCAGAACGGGCCGCGGCCGCCGGAGTGGAGGAGAGGCAGGGAAGGGCGAGAGAGGAGGGGAAGCCAGCGGTGGCCATGACGGTTCCTCAGACTAAAGGAAAGAAGAATGCCTACTCCAACTCGGTCCAGAAGATGACCTGCCCGTTCTGTCCGCGCGTGTTCCCCTGGATGAGCTCGCTGCAGAGACACATGCTAACGCACACAGGTAACCCGCCGCACAGACTGCTGCAGCAGCGCGGCAGGAATCCACGCGGCGAACTCAACCATCTCTCCGTCTCCCTCAGGCCAGAAGCCGTTCCCGTGTCCGCGCTGCGACGCCTTCTTCTCCACCAAGTCCAACTGTGAGCGCCACCTGCTGCGCAAGCACGGCGTGACGCACCGGACGCTGCGGCGCAACGGCGCCATCGTGAAGAAGGAGGGGGATGACGGCTCGCACGAGAGCGCCGGTACGGACCCCAGCCACTCCCCTGTGGTTTACCACCCGGTCCCCCGCCGCCACCCTGAGCCTCGTGTTGAGAACCCCGGGTCGCCTCCTCCTGACGGTTCCTTTGTGTTTCTGCAGAGAGCCAATCAGAGACAGAGCAGCTGCCACCAGAAATCAAGGATCTCACCCCAGAATCAGCCCCCGCCTCCATGGTCAACAGCCCCGCCCACTCTGACGTCACTCCATTAAGCCCCACCCCCAAAGCAAGCCAAGGTCAGCCAATGAAAACATTTCAATCTGTTAATGCCTCAACTATAAACAGTAAGCTAATGCTAACGCTAATGTTCATGCCTCAGGCTGCAGTCCACCTGCAGAGCAACAAGACACAGAAATCAGTGAGCAGCCTGACCAACAGGGGGCGCCAGAGACCAAAGGCACAGCAGCCAAACAGCCTCCGCAGAGCAGCAAGGTAACAGCCTGTCAGACACGATTCAGGGCTAAAACATTTACTGTCCGTTTAAATCCCTCGGCTGCCCTCATAATGCCTGATTTTACATCTCATTAAGTTATTACCTGTTCTGTTAGATGTTAAATTGATTTGAACACGACTAACCCGCTTAGCTTAAATTTAGCTATGATGCTAACTAGCTACACAGCTAACTTTGTGATGCTAATTAATCTATTTCATCCCAAACTCATTTAAGGAATGACAACCTGGACACACAGGTAGAACACCACCTGAGATTTATCTGCAGAGACAAATAATTATATTATTACGATAAAATGGTATTTAATGGTCATTTATTTCATTTGATATTTAATGTTGGCCTTCAGGGGTCACATTATTCTGACCCCACATTTGGGGTGAATTTACAGATATCAGTCTGATTCCACAGTCGGCCCATTTCAGCCGACTGCCTCCCATAAACCACATGCACTACACACTCCGACCACCAGATGGCAGCACACCGAATAGTATCTTTAGCATAACGACCAACATGTCTTCCGCTCTTCAGGCCGAGAACACGGACGACGACGACTGCCACAGCAACAAGAGTCTCGACCTGAACTTTGGCAAGAAGCTCATCGACTTTAAGCTCTCCACTTCCTCCTCAAGCTCCGCCCCTCAAGAAGAGCCACGCCCCCTGACTCCATCAGCCACGCCCCAAGATGCCACGGAGGTCCCCGAAGACCAGGACAAGCCGGCGCCCTCCTCTTCCTCGCCCGGCAGCCCAGCAGGGAAGCAGCAGCCCGACAACAAACACGTCTGTCGGGTTTGTACGAAGAGTTTCCGCTTCGCAACGACTCTGGCTCGCCACGAGAGGGCGCACCTCTCGGAGGAGGAGCAGGCTGCGGCGGTGACAGAGGAAGAGGAGGATCCTTTACCTGCAAAGGAGGAGGAGGAGAGCAGAGCTGCTCAGCCGGAGGCAGAGGAGAAGGAGGCGGACATGGAAGAAGATGATGGAGGAGAGCGGGAAGGAGAGAGCGACAGAGGCGAGAGTGGAGAGTCAGAGGAGGAGGAGAAGGAGAAGGAGGAGAGGAGCGACGAAGAGGCGTCAGAACCAAAGAACAGCGAGGGAGGAAGGGTGGACAAGAGGAAGAAGATCTGCACCGAGTGCGGGAAAAGATTCTGGTCTCTGCAGGACCTGACGAGACACATGAGGTCACATACAGGTGAGATAGACCCCGCCCCCTGGACAGGTAGACCCCGCCCCCTGGAGAGAGATAGACCCGACCCTGGAGAGAGATAGACCCCGACCCCTGGAGGCAGGTAGACCCCGCCCCCTGTAGGCAGGTAGACCCCGCCCCCTGAAGACAGATAGACCCCGCCCCCTGGAGGCAGGTAGACCCCGCCCCCTGAAGACAGATAGACCCCGCCCCCTGTAGGCAGGTAGACCCCGCCCCCTGTAGGCAGGTAGACCCCGCCCCCTGAAGACAGATAGACCCCGCCCCCTGGAGGCAGGTAGACCCCGCCCCCTGAAGACAGATAGACCCCGCCCCCTGGAGGCAGGTAGACCCCGCCCCCTGGAGGCAGGTAGACCCCGCCCCCTGTAGGCAGGTAGACCCCGCCCCCTGAAGACAGATAGACCCGCCCCCTGGAGGCAGGTAGACCCCGCCCCCTGGAGGCAGGTAGACCCCGCCCCCTGGAGGCAGATAGACCCCGCCCCCTGAAGACAGATAGACCCCGCCCCCTGGAGGCAGATAGACCCCGCCCCCTGGAGGCAGGTAGACCCCGCCCCCTGGAGGCAGATAGACCCCGCCCCCTGGAGGCAGATAGACCCCGCCCCCTGGAGGCAGATAGACCCCGCCCCCTGGAGGCAGATAGACCCCGCCCCCTGAAGACAGATAGACCCCGCCCCCTGGAGGCAGATAGACCCCGCCCCCTGAAGACAGATAGACCCCGCCCCCTGGAGGCAGATAGACCCCGCCCCTGGAGGCAGATAGACCCCGCCCCCTGGAGGCAGATAGACCCCGCCCCCTGGAGGCAGATAGACCCCGCCCCCTGGAGGCAGATAGACCCCGCCCCCTGGAGGCAGGTAGACCCCGCCCCCTGGAGACAGGTAGACCCCGCCCCCTGTGGTTGCCATGGTGACCCCCTCCTCTGTCTGTCCCCCAGGTGAGCGGCCCTACCAGTGCCAGACGTGCGAGCGGACCTTCACCCTGAAGCACAGCCTGGTCCGCCATCAACGGATCCACCTGCGGCCGCGCGGCGCCGACGGCGACGCCAGCGAGGACGGAGACTCCTGCGCCCCCACCCCCACCTCCACCTGCCCGCCGTCCGAGAACGAGAGCGAGTGCGGCAGCGGCACGGCGGGGACCAAGGAGCTGGAGGAGGAGGAGGACTGCAAGGAGGAGGTCGAAGGTCAGCGGGAGGGTTCCGGGTCGGCGGAGGAGGAAGATGTGGAGAAACGGTCGGATCCGGCCCCGCCGCCCTGCTCCGACCCCCACCAAGCTACTGAATCAAAGACGAGCACCAGCACCGACTCACCCGCACCACCGGACGGCGCCAAAGATCCCCCCAGCTGCCCAGCAGGGGGCGCCGCGGCAGACGGCTTCATCCAGGGGCTGCTGGAGATCCACAACCAGCCGCCGCCGGAGCGCCGGCTGCCCAACGGAGAGCCCTCCCTGGTGGGCGCAGACTGAGGGACCCCCATCACCGCAGTGCCATACGACCGAAGGACGACGATGATGATGATGATGATGATGATGCAAAAACCAGCGCGTAAAATCTTCCCCCAAAAGACAGAACCTCGTTTTCTTGAAGTGCCTTACTACTAGTCCAACTTCTAAAGATGTTTTTGTTGCTATATCTTTATCTGCGTTATTCCGGAGGATGGATCTAAATTTTTATAGCTTTTTATGATGACAGTGATTTACTATTTTTGTGCGGGAAATCTATATTTCAGCAATAAAAAGATTAAATGATTACGATTTATTGTTCTAGATTTGTGTTTTGAGAATCGATGATCAACGTGGAGACGCGGACGGACTTGGGAACTGTTCGGGTCGAACCGGAGCGGCGCCGGACTTCAGTTGCTCCGGTTTGAACATCATGTTTCAGATTTAGACTGAATGAAGTGGCGCCTGGCGGCGGGACTGAGGAAAGCTGTTGTAACTGGAAACCTGCGGGTTTAACTGCCGGCTCTGCTGGCTCATGGAAACCTTCAGACTGATCCGAGTGCCTGGGGGGGGCGCCGTCGTTCCTGTTTCAGACCCATCACACTACCCCCCAGAGGCGTTTCTCTCATCATGATTCTCAGTTGATTCCAGGCCGCCGCGCCGCCGCCGCCCGGCTCTCTCTGCATGTTTGCATTCATATTTAGGTGTGTTTGGGGGGGAAGCTTCTCGTTTTGTGGATTTTCTTTTTTAACTGAACAAATTGAACGTTTTGTTTTTGTGTGTTTTTCAGTGTGAATGTGGCCCCTGGCCTGACTCTCATTGTCGCCCCCTAGTGTTTGTTTTAGGGTAACTCGCAGGGCCTCCGGCATGCTAACACGTAGCGGCACTAACACCTGTTAGTTCAGTTTTCAGTTTACCTCAACTTTTGCTCTTTAACTGAAGCTGTTAGCAAATCCAACGTCTTCCTCCCGGGTCGCCCGGTTAAACCGAGGCGGCCGCCGCTAACGAGCGCTAACAGGCGCTAACGAGCGCTAACTTGTCCAGTGTGGGCGGGGCATGTCGGAGGTGTTTGGTGGCTCAGACCACGTGTTGCTGTTTTCAGCTCCGTGTCTCAGAGCAGGACGACACTAGATGGGTGAAGCATCATCCAGACAATCTGACCTTCAGCTCAGTTGAACCTGCATTTACTCCTTCAGTATTATCGTCTGTCTGTCTGCCGTTTTCCTGTCCGGGTTTCATCTCCTCTCCGCCTCCACGCCTATTTCCCTTTGGAAACGTCTGAACTTTACAGCTGACCCCAAAGGTCTTCAGCTGAGCATTAGAGACAATCATTGGTTTCCAGAAGGTGACAGCGGATGCGTTTATAAAGAATAAATCAGGTTGGTGTGAACACTATTCGAAACCTGCTGCACATTAAAGGGCTCAACGTCCATCAGCACCAACCTGAGCAGAGGGACAGTAGTCTGGCTGTCTCTTGTTTTCTGGCTTGTGTGTAAAAAACCTTTTTCCTGTTTAATATTAGATGACCTCATAAGCAAGTCAAACCTCAGTGGCTTATATTGGAACTGTAAGGCGGTGATGGTCGGTCGTTCAGCGCCTTCAACAGAGACGAACCGCGGATTGTCAGGAGCCGCTGCGATTGGCCCATCGCTGCCCTGAACTGGCACTAACGTTCCCACACCTAACGTTCCCACACCTAACGTTCCCACACCTACTGCTACCTTCTGTACTACTAACTGCAGCCAGGAGAGAAAGGCTCGGCCTCTTTAGCTGCTTCTGCAACAACTGGACTTTATGTCAACTAAAGCTTTAGTTATTAATTATGTTCAACCATCAATCAGGTGTCTGAAGCTTGAAAAAGCTCTTGAGTTGTAATTTTCTACCTGAGGTTGCTAACACCAGCTAGCGGGCTGCTATTAACTTCTTTAGCTAATATGTTGCTTTAAAAAACTAAATAAAATCTAAACTGGATGTTTTTCGTTTGATTTTTGATTAATTGAAGATAAGAAAATAGTTTGATGGGTTTTAGTCAAGATGCTACTTGGCTAGCAGGCTAACAGATCGCTGCTTCGTTTTAGTTTTCTGTCAGATTTCAGTCGAAACTTGGATTCAGTTTTTCTTTCATAATGATGGAAAAATTCTGTTTGATGAAATTGACCAGTTTGCAATTAATTTACCCAAACATGTAGCTTTGTTGATGCTAGCAGTGCTAACAGATGCTAGCAGCACTAACGGATGAAAACAGTTTTATTGGCTAATGTTTCCGTTCCCTCAGTAGAACGTTTTCTGAATAATGTCTGAAATGTTTCCTGATTTTCCAGATTATCGCAGATAAACAGAACTAAACCCAAAACAAGCGAGCTGAACTGTTACAAAAACAATAAATCTTTGTGTTTAGGAATGAAATTCTGTCATATGGATTGTACTTATTTTTCTTTCCAAAACTTTTTTGCTGAGATTTATTGATAAATGTTTTAATTCTTAGTGAATATGGGACATGGCTAATAGGCTAACTCCAGTTCACTGTTGCTAAGCAGTAAAAAATTGGCATAACTTTTCTTTTTAAATAAAATTATCACCAAATTATTTGAGATTAATTTTCACAAACCTGTCAAAGTTAGCGCTAACGTTGAAGTGAAGCTAATGCTAAACCTCACCTTTACTCTTTAGAAAACAATAAACATTTTTTAAAATAGTTAAATAGTGAATATAGTCCATAAATATCTTTATGTTCAATCTGAAATGTATATTGCTTTAAGATGCTAACAGCTTCATTAGCTTCTGTTGTTGGCGTTAGCTGTGCTTTTCTCATGAATTAAACTTCCTGTAGAGGGCGGTAAGGAGCGGCCCTTTCTCTCTCCATGGTTTCTGTCTCGTTGGCTTCCTGTGTCCTCCCTGTCCTCGGGGCGTTTGTCTCCTCGTCTGTCCCGTCTGCGTGTGCGGCCATATGAATACTGGACTTCCATTCGAATGCACATAGACTGTTTTTATTGTATTTATTTGGAGCCCAGGCGTGTTTCTGTGTGTGAGTTTAATTGTCTGCAATGACTTGAGAAGAAGCCATGTATTAAAATGTCACATTTATGCTGCAGAGTTGTTGAGGATCTGGTGTTTTTGTTGTTGTGGCTCGACCGGCTTGCTCAAGGGCACGGCAGGCCGCGAGAGACTCGGACTAGCAATAAGAATCCTTCTGAATCCAAAAGCTTTATGTAGATTTTCCTGTGTGTGAGTCGAGAACAGTCTGTCTGGGTCTGTTGGTTCTGTTTATTTTTAGTTTTCTTCTATGACATAAATGCATATAAAACTGTGAAAATCTATTGTGATTAATTAAAGGGTGAGTTTTAGGTTAGATTTTTTGCATGTTAATCTAATTTGTTCATTATGGATGATTTCTCCTTTCTCCATCACTTCTTGTGCTACACATAAAAATATCAAAATCTATATAATCTCGCTCTCAGGGTCTTTCACAAATCCATGATTTGAAATGCTTCTTGTTGTTTTCCTCCTGAGTCGCAGCTTGTCCAGATTACTTTGTCTTTTTTAAAGATGACATCATGATCAGATCTGTCAATCACTACATTTAGCACTTGACTGTGAACTCGTCGTTACCAGACACAGAAAATGTGGTTTGATTTTTGGTCTCCAAACTCTGATCTGAAGCCTTTTCTGTTTTATTTAATGAGTTTTTCTTTGTGTACTGGACCTCAATCACAAAGCATTATAAAAATGCAGCCTGGATCTTTTTCTGTCCCCTGCTGTTAGCAACATGACAGTGTTCACAGAGTCTAGAGATGTAAGCCTGCTCTGTATTCAACCCAATAAGAAAAGCAATAAAGATTATGTAAAGGAAAGGTGTGTCAATCAACATGGGTCATACTTCTGTCTTCTTTCATCGTCAGAACCGGATTCTGGGCCTCTTAAGTTTTCTCATTAAAGCTGTTTAACACCCGATACTCTCAGTTCTCTTTCTCACTAAGTCAAACCAGCCTGTTCCCCTCCTGGCCTGTGGGGGCGCTGCACCAACAACCACTGAAGGAAATGACACTAAAACATCTGTAGACACTGAGAGCAACTTCCTGTTTCACCAGATGAAACACGATGGAGGCGTCAGAGTTTAGTGATTTCTCTTTAGAAATGGCTCCTGAAGCCCAGGAGCCATTTCTGCTGCTACTGCTAGGCTAGCATGTTAGCTTTGGTTGTATTTACCCAGAATGCCCTGCGCTGTTGTACACTTCCTGCTTTTGGAGCGCTCTCTGGTCCGCTTGGCGTTCACATTCAAGTGCTTGGCGTTCAAATGTACAAGCGTGGACCGAAGAGGAGAAGCGAGCAGCACAGTTGCTACGGCACAGGGATGAGAGAAAGAGTCGCTCGGTCTGGGTTCACTTCAACCGAACCCAGACCGAGGTTTGGAGGATCAGAGGTCAGAGGTCGATTAGCGTTCACACCTCACCAACCAACCTAGGCAAACAGACTGGAGTTGGTCTAAACAGGTCTGGTGTCGATGCAACCTTAAATCTACAGTAGGAACGTTGGATGTTCCAGGTCTGGGTCTTGGTTCTCTGGTCGAGAAGCTCTTCAAATGTTTTATAGATTTCTCTGTAGAATCTCCAGAACTTCTCTAGAACCTCCTGACTGTGGTTCTTTTTGAGCGATTTAAAGGTTTTCCTCTGGTGACGGTTTTGATGAAAACATGACGTCAGACGACTGACAGTCACTGACTGCGTCACAAGCGCGACTCCCTTTCAACAAACCAACCCACCATTAAAAACGTCTGGCTGGGTTTAGGGACAATGGTGGACTGAGCAGAATGTCCAACATAACTTCTGTCTCCTCTGTCGTTTGTACGGATCACGTTTTGCTTCTTTTCAGACTCTGGGACGCCCAACTGGATGACGACACATTCACTGGAGCATTTATTCACCTGTAACGCAAAACAACCCAAAAAGGGCCTCTAAACTGGGCTTTGACGTCTGGTGTCTTTAAGATTCAGCTGAATTAACTTGTCATGATGCAGTGAAGCTCACTAATGACCTGATGGATTCAGGTGTGCTGAAGCAAAGATGCAGCTCACGCCGCGTCTTTCGGCCTGGAGTTGAGAAACCCGTGGCGCAGAATTAATCAGACAGGCCTCGCTGCAGGGCCAATGTTCCCTTCAGCCTCAAAATGTCTGCCTGTCACTTTTTCCCAGGATGCTTTCCCAAAAGCATCTAGACTTTTAGTCCAAGACTGAGATTACACAATCAAGAGTGGAGCTGGGAAGGAGGCCAGACTTTACACAGCATGTGAAGACATCGCAGAGACACGATGAGGTTTTAGTGGTTTAGTGGAGAAGATCTTCCTGATTGAACCGACTGTCCCACAGGACTGTGAACAACTCACAGCTCTGGGAGGAGCAGGAAGGAGCGTCAGGTTGCTGTGCTCAGGCTGGCGGACGCAGCGAACGGAGCAGCTGGAACAGGAGCAGTTCAGCTGGAGACCGAGAGAGGACAAGCAGAGCCTGGAGGGTGCTGGGGTTAAAGGTCAGTGGAAGTTGGATGCCACCTAAAGACATTCCCTCAGAGCTGAAGTAAGAGACTGAAGTAAGAGGCACCAACTCGAAGTTTTCTGTATTATAATTACCTGTCGTGTGGTTGGAAGAGGCCATAATCCTAAGATTAAGTGATTAAAAATATTTTTAAAAATTGTTTGTGTTGTTGGCTTCAAAATACTTTAAATATGTCCCAATGATCTGCTTATGAAATATTAAACACATTTCTGGTCCCAAAAGCATAATTGGAAGACCTGCAGTTCTGTGGTCCGCCAGATGGGGGCAGTGTAGGAGAATAACCTGAACCTGGAACTGTTCCGAGTCAGAGAAGAAACCAGCGGTCTGAACTCGTGAGTTTATGGTCTATAATAGAAGTTAATGTGGCTCATTTTAATATTCTAGTTGCATCAAATTCGTCTCGGATTATAACAGCCTCTTTACATTGTGAGTTGTTTTCCACCTGACGTCAATTTAACCGCGTTTCCCTTAAGCTAAACATGCTAGTTCGGCAGTAGGCTAGGCTAATGTAGCATCTCTGCTTTTAAGGGTTTTCAGCTGTTTTTGTTGGAATAATATGCAAAAAGTGCCACGTTTGGTATTATAAATATCTGCTTATTTAACTTTAATCTTCAAGTGTTCAGAATGAAGCTTTTTAAATTAGTTTGAAGGGATAATCTGATGATTTTGGTCGGTTCAGTTCTGCCCCCTGTTGTTTAACAGGTTTATATGTTTGGCATGTTTTCAAGAGTTTTATCAAAAATCATCCTGCTGGGTATATCCACATCCTGGATTATAATTACCATAAACATAACTACATTTTACTAGATTTCAAATTAATTTTATTTGTTGAAAATGCTTTATTTTCTTCCCAATCTTACTTTATGAACCATTTTGTGTCCAACTACAGTCTTCAGGCTCCTTCGGGTTTTGAGTCTGAAAAAGTCACAAATCTTTTATAAAAATGTGACTCACTGAAGGAAAAAGGTTAAGCTTCTTGTTTTAATTATTAGTTTCAGTTGCAGGAAGTGGTAGTTTGTGAGCACCGTCGCCCCCTGGTGGCTGTCAGGATGTCTGCAGCTTCAAACCTGCTCAGGTGAATAGATGCGAACTTTTAAATGTTGTGATTGTTCTGTCAGTGAAGAAAAGCTGTTAAGTTCACATACAATCCAGATTTATTAAAATACTTTATTTACATAATGAACACAGATTTACATCATTGTTATGCAGCCTCATACAGGCATAGGCGTAAATCCCAGGGGGTGAAGTCTGGAAGTCTGGTCCCCCCAAAAACAATCATTGAAGAAACATTTGCATTTAAATAATAATATGAAAAGGTAAAAGAAAACAAAATAAATCTGTCATTTTAGGTCCCAAACTACCATTATGAGAAAAATGGTTCAGTCCAAAGCTCTGCAGCACAAACATTAAACCCTCCAGTAAGTAAATACTTACAACAAAAGACATCTCAACATTTTATTTACTTTCGCTGCTCAGTGGGAAGAAACACATGAACAATAAAGATCATTACCTTTAATCATGATAAGCTGCCTCATTAGCAAAACTGCTGCACTGCTTTCATAGAAGGTAGCAAACATTCATATTTAACTCTAAGTTTTAGTGAGTTTGGAGGGAGGAGCTGAGAACAGAAGAAACAGCATTTATAAAACCACACAATAAAGTCTGAATAATTTTCTATATAAACTCTGGTGCTTTAAATGTGGTAAGTTATGATTCTCCCCAGATACTCATTTCTATCTGCCTGTTCTCAGTCATCCAGGACTAAACTAAAACAAAGTTTAAAATAAAGCAAGTTAAGTTATTATTTAAATAGCCCATATTTTGTATTGGGAGGCATTTCAATAAATAAATGTTTGAGGAATTTTATTAAGAGCAGTTCCTCATTAAAACTTTATTTAGAACCTTAATTGTAAAGTGTAGCAGAGAGTAGATCAGTCAGGCTGAACAAAACTGGTATAGAAGCAACATTTGAGTTTTAGTTTCTCAATAATTTGCTGACTGACATGTTTGATCTGCATTATTAGTCATTTTTGGTCCTGCAGCTTGAATGTAGTTTAAAAACTTTTTAAACCATTTTTACGTTACATTTTCCTGTAACTTCACCAACCCTCCAAAATTGGTCTTCAGATATTTTCCTGTTTTTTGGTCCCCCCCAATAATGAGCTGGATTTACGCCTTTGCATACAGGTGCAGCTCAGGCTCCGCCCACAACACCTGACCCAAATACTGATTTCCTGTTTCAGTGTTTATTTGCAGACATGGAGTCAGAGTGGCACAATATTAAAGCATTTTCTGCTATGAAAGTTGTCATATTTTAGGAATAAAGTTACATTTCACACTTTCTAATCTTCAAACAAAGTCATCTGCAGTTCATGGAGTTATAATTAGTTATTCACAGACAGATTTAGGATGTGAGGAAGAGGAGGATGCTGGAACCTTCCTGGTGGTTCTGCTGCGTCCGTTTGGTCCTATGGGGGTCAGAGGTCATCATGCGGAGGTCAGAGGTCACACTGTGGACGGCTTCATCAGCGCCTGCTCCCCAAACAGCTGCTTGAAGTGCGCCACATGCTCCTCACAGTGTTCCCCTGGTAGCCGACACATCAGACTGTAACTCAGATGCTAACGCTACCAAGCTAGTATTAGCATCAGATGCTAATGCTAAAATAGTTCTATAGTAAGGGATAACCGCTGCTAATCTCATTTCAACTGATTTTTGTCCCTTCGCTTTGGTTTCTCAAAAAGAAATGTTTTTACAGAAAATGTATAAACAGGCTTTCAGTTCAGTTATTCATCAGAATTCAAAGTCTGAATGAACACCAGCTGGAAACAAGATGGCGGCCGCACATCACTCTGAACTCCAGACGGAAGCGGTTCTGGTTCTGACCTGGGTTGAAGGACGGGTTTCCTCTGAGGCGCTGGTTCCGCTGCTGGAACGACCGGAACACGGTGTAGAACAACATCTGGTCTCCCGTCTGCCGCGCCGCATCCAGGAACTTCCTGGCCGACACGCTGTCATGGCCGCCTGCGTCAACAAACCGGGTCAACGGTTACAGGATGGCCTTATATGGTCAAAGAGCTGCGGCGCTAACGGCTAACAGTCGTACCAACGCTGCGGATGAATCTGAGCGCGCCCAGAACCTGCTGCTTGGACAGCAGAACCTCCACGATCTCATCGTTAGCCGTCGACAGGCGCTGGAGAGACAAGATGGAGAGCAGTTAGTGGCAGGGAGACAGATTAGCAGGATGGACAGGGTTAGCGTGTAGCATGGTGAGGTTCTGGTTGGTTCCGGCCCACTTCCTATTCGGTACCTTGAGCATGTCCAGAGATAGCTGGTGGGCTGGAGGGTAGGTGCTCTCCAGAGACAGCAGCAGGCAGGCCTGAAACAGAACCAAACACAACCAGCTGAGTCAGGTGGCTGCCCCCCTCAGCATGATGCTGCCGCCGCCGTGCTGAGGTTCTGACCAGAGGTTTGGAGTCACTGAGGACGTGGTACTGCAGGAACTGGTGCAGCATGTAGAACAGGTTGTTCTGGACCAGAGTCTTGATCACCAGCTCATACAGGTAATGCTGCAACCAATCAGAGGCAGCAGTGTCAAAGACGGGAAACGGGAGCGCTCACTCGCCTGCGTTTTACCTGGACGGTGATCTGGTTCTGGTTCAGGGAGCGGATGTACTCCATCAGCACGGCGATGATGAACTTATGGGACACGTCCTGTAGGAAAACAGCAGCAGATTAAAGTTTTTGGATTAGCCTAAATGAGTTTTAGTTTGGAGGTAATAACACTTTATCTGACATTAATTGTAAAAATTAAAGAATTTTGGTGAAAATGTACTCTGGACTATTTTTATTTTTATGTATGAAATGTTCTCCATCACAGCTGGAGATTAGAACAGTGCAGTTACAGCATGCGGCCATGTGGGGGCAACAAACCCCTGAACCTCTACAGGAACATCAGATGAATAAAATCTGAAATCAAGGATAAATTCTCCATGTTCTGATGATGGATCATTATGGGATGCCTCCCTGCTCCTCCCACCTTCCTCTCTGTGAACGCTGACAGGACGTGTGTGTACATGTCTGATTGGTCAATGACTGCCTGCGTCCGGACCGGCCGTTTCTGGGTGCCGCCGCCTCGACTCGGACCCGACTCCATGGCCTGCAGACCCAACAGAGACTCCTTTAGCCCAGCCGGGTCGCCGGTTGTTGAGAGAGCCGGGGATTCCTGCACTCACCGCCGTGTAGCTCTGCTCCGCCTCCAGGTACTCCTTGTACACCTGGTTGAGCTTGTCAAAGACGGTCGCTACCACGGGTAGGCTGCCCTTCACCTGCCCGTCCAGAACTGGAACAGAAACAGTCGTGAGTTTCCCGCCTGGCAGGTGGAGACACTGACAACTAGGATACGCACTCTGAGAGCACACCGACAGGATCACCATCTTGCAGTCCCTTCGCCGCAGCAGGAAGTCCATCAGCTTCCCCTTGTCCTGCAGCAGGTGGACAGTAGGGGGCAACCTCACCTGCAGGTACCACAGGTAACCTGGGGCACAGGTGAGAGGTTAAAGAACAATCCAATCACCGTCAACTCAGGCAGAAGGAGGACAAACCTTCACTGGCGCTGATGATGATGTCGGGCTGGAAGACGCTCCAGGAGGAAGAGTCTGGGTCAGAACTCAGGAAAATAAACTAAACGTGTCAAAGGAAGTGACCTTTGACCCTCAACGAGTCAAACAGGAGTTTAAAGTGGATACATAGATGCAGGGAGAGAAAAAATGAAGTTCAAATAAACCTAACAGAGAATCACCTCATCCCCTACCCCAACATCACCTCATCCCCTACCCCAACATCATCTCATCCCATACCCAACATCATCTCATCCCATACCCCAACATCACCTCATCCCCCACCCATCATCACCTCATCCCCCACCCCAACATCATCTCATCCCCCACCCCAACATCACCTCATCCCCTACCCCAACATCACCTCATCCCCTACCCCAACATCACCTCATCCCCTACCCCAACATCCTCATCCCCTACCCCAACATCACCTCATCCCCTACCCCAACATCCTCTCATCCCCTACCCCAACATCACCTCATCCCCTACCCCAACATCACCTCATCCCCCACCCCAACATCACCTCATCCCCTACCCCAACATCACCTCATCCCCCACCCAACATCACCTCATCCCCTACCCCAACATCACCTCATCCCCCACCCCAACATCACCTCATCCCCTACCCCAACATCACCTCATCCCCCACCCCAACATCACCTCATCCCATACCCCAACATCATCTCCCCCACCCCAACATCACCTCATCCCCTACCCCAACATCACCTCATCCCATACCCCAACATCACCTCATCCCCTACCCCAACATCACCTCATCCCCCACCCCATCATCACCTCATCCCCTACCCCAACATCATCTCATCCCATACCCCAACATCACCTCATCCCCTACCCCAACATCACCTCATCCCCTACCCCAACATCACCTCATCCCCTACCCCAACATCATCTCATCCCATACCCCAACATCATCTCATCCCATACCCCAACATCACCTCATCCCCACCCCATCATCACTCATCCCCCACCCCAACATCATCTCATCCCCACCCCAACATCACCTCATCCCCCACCCCAACATCACCTCATCCCCTACCCCAACATCACCTCATCCCCTACCCAACATCACCTCATCCCCTACCCCAACATCACCTCATCCCCTACCCCAACATCCTCTCATCCCCTACCCAACATCACCTCATCCCCTACCCCAACATCACCTCATCCCCACCCCAACATCACCTCATCCCCTACCCCAACATCACCTCATCCCCCACCCCAACATCACCTCATCCCCTACCCCAACATCACCTCATCCCATACCCCAACATCACCTCATCCCCTACCCCAACATCACCTCATCCCCCACCCCATCATCACCTCATCCCCTACCCCAACATCATCTCATCCCATACCCCAACATCACCTCATCCCCTACCCCAACATCACCTCATCCCCTACCCAACATCATCTCATCCCATACCCCATCACCTCATCCCCTACCCCAACATCACCTCATCCCTACCCACATCTCATCCTTCCCAACATCATTCCCCCTCCCCCCCCACCCCAACATCACCTCATCCCCCACCCCAACATCACCTCATCCCCTACCCCAACATCACCTCATCCCCTACCCCAACATCACCTCATCCCCTACCCCAACATCACCTCATCCCCCACCCCATCATCACCTCATCCCCTACCCCAACATCATCTCATCCCATACCCCAACATCACCTCATCCCCTACCCCAACATCACCTCATCCCCTACCCCAACATCACCTCATCCCCTACCCCAACATCATCTCATCCCATACCCCAACATCACCTCATCCCCTACCCCAACATCACCTCATCCCATACCCCAACATCTCATCCCCTTCCCCAACATCACCTCATCCCCCACCCCATCATCACCTCATCCCCTACCCCAACATCATCTCATCCCCGACCCCAACCAGACAGATTCATAAAAGAGAAGCTTCCCAACATGTTACCGTGTAATTTATTGATCTGAATGTCTCCTTTATGAATCTCACGATCAGGAGGAACTTTATTGGTTTGGAGAAATTCATAGGATGAATATACAACATCTGGTTCATTTCTAAAGTAAAATAAAAAAAATAAACTGAAATCTTGCAGGAACTAAACGATAGAAAAACCCGGATATGGAATTTTAATTTAGAAAAATTTGACCCAATAAATCAGCAAACCCTTTGACTTGTTTGATCAGATTTTTCCTCAAGTTAAATGTTTGAAACAGTAAATAAATTTTGTTTTTTGGTGATAAAGTTTGAACAATCAGACGTTAATTTAAGAAAATTAACTTCTGGGTTAAAGAACCGGGTCCACTTCCTGTGGGCTGTGAAGAACATCCCACTGACCTCTAAACCAGGAAGTGACCTGCTGTCTGCCTTAAACAGACCCGTAGTTTTAACAAGCCAGCGGTTCTGACCCGGTTCTGATGCTAAACCCCAAAGGATACAGAGCTGACACGGAACCGGCGGCTGAGTCGGAACGGCAGCTGGACCTGCAGAAACACTCAGTCAGGTTTGAACGTGGACTCGGAGGGCGGTTCTGACCGGGTCGGGTACCTGACAGAGGAATCCTGTAGGGATGGATGGACCGGGCCGGCAGAACCGGCTGGTGGGTGTTAACAGTGCAGTCGGGCTCCTTCAGCCTGATGTCGAAGATCAGAGACGTCTGCCGGAGAGAAAAAACGGGTCAGAACATCAGGAAAGTCAGAAACGAGTCCGCCCGGTACCAGGTCCAAACCCGGAGAGTCACAGGTCAGATCCACAAGTTTACAGAGAGAATGAAAATACAAGGAAAGACTCGAGTCTCAGGCTACAAGTCCTGTCTTGTGCAAGTCGAGTCCAGTATCTGAAGTCCGGTTGCCGAGTCCCGGTTCCGGTCCGCTGACCTGTGAACTCTGGTGGTGAACGACGATCAAGTTGTCGACGATGTTCAGGGCGAACTTCCCGGTGGTGTTGAGCTTCAGGATGTGGCTCTTCTTACAGGCGCCTTCCCTGGAGCAGAGCAGAACCAGAGGGACGGGTCGGTGTCGGAACCGGGCCGGTCCTGGACGGGTGTTCTGAACGCAGCACCGACTCACCTGGGCAGGTGGTACAGCACCACCTCGGCTCCGGGGCTGTTCGCCGTCCGGGAGTGGTGCTTCAGGTACATGACGTACAGCTGGCCGTAGCTACACACACACACACACACACACACACACACACACACACACACACACACACACACACACACACACACACACACACACACACACACACAGAGCGCTCAGCGTCATCAGCGGGCATCAAACGCCCCAACGCCCGCCACCTACATGGTTGCCATGGCGATGTCCCTCTCCGACAGCGTCAGCTTGGCCGGTTTGGGGACGACCGGCAGCTCGATCTCGAACTTGGTCATCTTGGTCATGGTTCCGTTCTGAAGGACAGAGACGAAGATGATCAATGTGTCAGATCAATGAATCACTTCACCGAACCTGAACAATTCAAGATGGCCGCCTTGCTTGTCATGGAAAATTCATTTTTGCACTAAAATCACAATCTAGATGCAATTTGGTGTCAAATCATAGCCTACATATTTTGAATAATAATATATTGATGTTATTTTTTTTCAGGTGAACATTTTTCAAAATGGCCGCCATGGTTTTTATGGAGATTTGACCCAGCAAAAGTTAGCACCAGTGGAAGCTAAAGCAAACCAATAAGACAGACCTTCATCTTCCAGTCGGTGAGACTCAAACTGCTGCATATTTTTCCTTTCAAGTTGCATGAAAATGTTGACCAACGTCGAAAACGAATGATGTGACAAAGTTTGTCCAAGTCATGAAACGTTAATGACGTTAAAAGGCTCAAAACCTGCGGCCATCTTGAAAAGAAATCCTAGAACCTGACGGGTTAGCATGCTAATTATCCGCTCTGTAAAGGTCATCACAGTACGGCTCAGAACCAGAACTTCCAGAAGCGGATCGGGAGAGACGGACCCGGAAGGCGAACGGCTGCAGGACGTTGCCCTGCACCGTGGTGGACAGCAGGATCACGGCCGTTTCCGGACAGTACTGGTACCAGTTCACGTTGATGCTCTGACTCTTCAGCAGCTTCAGGCTGCGCTTGTCTGGGAACACCTGGACACACGGACACACAGGTGAGCTGCGGGTCAGAACCGAGTCTCCGGGGAACGACCCGGACCGACCTGGTAGAACTCTATGCCCTGGTCCGTTATGAAGACGATCTCGTTCCAGCTGGTCCAGCAGAACCCCAGAACGCTGGCGTTCTTCGTCTGCAGGAGCAACAGAAGCAGTAAGCGGACAGAGCCGCCTCCACTACCTGACCTTTGACCTGTAGATGGACCGACCTTACACTCCTGGGTGAACTCTGTGTGTGGATAGTCGGGGATGAAGTTGATGAAGTCCTGGAAACCCGGTCAGACGGTTAGGAACCAGAACTAAACAGAACCAGGATACTCCGAATGCAGACGGCCCCTGAACTCACCACGGACTTGGAGGTCCGCTGGACCGCCAGGATCTTGTTCCGATGGAGAACTTGATGCACTTCACCTCCCCTTTGTCATCCATCCTGCAGAGGAAAGCAGAACCATCAGCCTCACCTTTGACCTCTTCACAGCTTCATCACGCTTAGAGCCTGACATGATCTGGTGTACCTGAAGGCAACGCTGCTTTTGTCATCAGGCCCTTTCACCACCACACCTGTAGCTCCACCTGAACGCACCGCAAACACCTGCAGACAGAACGCAGGGCACCAAAACCCGCAGCATTTAAATTGTTTTTAAAAGAAAATACGATAAAATACACCCTTCTCCCTGCTGGTACCGGTTCTGTTACGAACAGCTAATTCAAACTCACCATTAGTTACCTGTGTAGCCAGGTGAAAACCAAGCCTTACTAACTGAGCAGAGGCTAACGGGTTAGCTCACCTGTTTGTTAGCTTCGTCGAAGAAGACGTTGTTGACGCTTGACGCATGCTCAAACTGGACCGGGTTCTCGCTCATCTCCAGGTAATGTTCCTCCGCCATCCCGACTCACCTGGCCTTCACTTCACCTGCAGTTTGAAGGAGGAAAACAGCGCGGAAGCAGCGGAGCATTAGCTTTAGCTGAAGGGCAGGACTTCCGCTTTACTCCTTCAAAATAAGAGCATAACCGGGATTTCACAGGGAATTCCAGTTTTAAATTAGCTATCGGTGTTTAATTACTTAGATACATTTTATATTTCATTTAATACTTATTTTAGACGTAGAATGTTAATTTGATGTAAATGTGCTACAATAAAGATTATGATTGATTTCGTCTGTTTTTCCTTCAGATCATTTTCCTGTGAATATTTTTAGAAACTTGGTTTCTTCAGCAGGATGTGAGATTATTTAAAACATCATGAATCTCCAGCGGGTGGAAGTTGGGAGATGCTGGATCCAGCACACACCTGAACAGGATCCCTCTTGTAATTTGTCTTATTTTGACAGAGCCAAACCGGAAGCATTCAGTTGTATAGTCATGTGATGTCATGAATCACGTGATTCATGTTTTTCAGCAAAAAAGCTGTTATGTGTATAAATAAGACAGCAGATTGTCATGTTTTCATATTTGTTTATTGTTTACCTGCTTCGTATGAGTTTAAATAAAAACATTTATGATGTTTCCTCACAGCAAACATTTCATTTCCACATTCAGTCGATCAATCCCAATATTCCTCCTGGTTAAAATCAGAAACACGGAGCTCAACACCTTTTAAAATCAAAACACAGACACTGATTAAAGATGAAAACGCTCAGTTTATGGCTGCAGCTCTTTGGATTTAACTAGGACGTCTGATTGGCTTTCGCTCATCATGAAAACCTTCATCTGCTTCTATTGTCTTCATCACATCAAACGGCGATAAGCAGGAGGACATGACGCTCTCTGCCTCCTGCAGCCAGGGGGCGGCGCTCCGTCCGGCCTGGGAGGAGGCGGTGGGACCGGACGCCAGCGGTTCTGACGTGGCGGATCAAAGCGAGTCGGGTCGTGAGAGGGAGGGGGGGACGACTAGTCATCAGAATCGGGGTCTAAAGGAGGACCGCCGTCCTCCGACGTCACCGGGAACGTCTTCTTCCCCCGCTTCTGGACGTGGTCCTCGTTCCGCTTCTCCATGGCAACGATCTGTGAGGATAGAGGGAGGGGTCACCGCACACGCTCAGAACCGACGGGTCACGCTCAGGACCGTCGGGTCACGCTCAGGACCGTCGGGTCACGTTCAGAACCGACGGGTCACGTTCAGAACCGTCAGGTCACGTTCAGAACCGTCGGGTCACGCTCAGGACCGTCGGGTCACCGCACACGCTCAGAACCGACGGGTCACGCTCAGAACCGTCGGGTCACGTTCAGAACCGTCGGGTCACGCTCAGAACCGACGGGTCCAAGACGTTTCGCTGGCCTCTTTCAATCAGCAGCCTGATGCTGAAGGTAACATTAGCAGCCAACTGAAACCAGCAGTCTCATCTGGTACCAGCTTGCTGCCTCCAGAACCGGCCCGGTCCGGTTGTTCCCGGTGGTCCGTTACCTCGGACAGGAAGCGCGCGTCGTCGTCGGCGCTGACCGGGATGTCGAGTTCGGTGACGGCGTTGAAAAGATCGTAGACGCTGAGCGCCTCGCTCACTCCCTTCTTCTGGAAGAACTGGAGGACCAGAACCAGAACCGTCAACCGACCCATCTCTGATGAAACGGGCCGTACCTGAGCGGAGCGGCCGTTACCGTGGCAACGTTCCTGCAGTCCCTGAAGAGGAACTCCAGGCCGTGAGGATGGGTGGGCTCCACCGACTGGCTGACGTCTATCAGCCACACCTGGAGGAACAGGAGGAGGACGGAGGTGAGGCTGAGGAGGCGGACTGGCAGGAAACGGGCCTTACCTTCCCCTGGTACCACAGCATGTTGTATTCACTGAGGTCGGCGTGGACCAGGTTACAGTCCTGATAGAGGCGCTGCATCAGCTGAGGACAGAGCAGAGAAGATGGACTGACGGTCCGAACCCCGGGGTTCGGACCGGGAACATTTACAGCCTGCGATTTGCGTATTTAATGAATTTTAGACACTTTAAGGCTGTGTGGTCAATGTGCTACCTGCAGGACCTGGCGGTACGCCTCCGCCGCCTCCTCGGACCCCAGCGACACGTCTTTGAGTTTGGGCGCGGGGACGTGCTCCTTCCCGATGAACGACATCACCAGGATGTGCTTCTTCAGCAGAACCACGTCTGGACAGGGAATCCCCGCCTTCTTCATCCTGAGGACAAGGTTGCCATGGTCTGCTCAGCGCTGCGCAACGCCACCACAAAATAAAACGCGCCGCACCTTCAAACATTTGTTAAAATGATGTAAATATGATGGTGAAAAACCAACTCTTCCTGTCTGGCTAAACGTTGCTGCTTCCAGGAGCAAAACCAGATGAATCCTGAGGAATCGACTAACAGTAACCAGCGTTGGATCCAAAGTCTGCTTGGATCTGATGAGACGTGGCGGCGGTTCTGGTACCTGGCCAGGTTGTGCATCTCCTTCTCGGCCCAGAGCCGGATCACCTTCCTGGGGTTCAGTTTGCTGAAGCGCTCCTTGAAGCGGTAGTCGTCCTTGATGTAGCGGTCCCGGTTCTTGAACTCGTTCAGCGTCGTCTTGAAGACTTTCAGAACCACTTCCTCTGGGACCGGCTGCTCCTCCAGGCTGGAACACACAGAACCAGACGGCTCGGAACCAGAGGTTTGGTCGGGTTCAGACCCTTGTCGAAACAGAATCCTGACCCGTTCCCATCTGAACGGATCAGAACTCGGAAAAGTTCTGATTTGACGAGGAATTGAATCGGGAATCTGTCAGAACCCGACCAAACCAGTGGAGTTCTGAGCCAACGGTTTGGGTCTGACCGGGCCTCACCTCCCTCCGTCGGCGTGGAACACCACCGACTCCTTGCCGGTGCTGATGCAGCCGTTGATGTTCTCCAGAACGCCGCTGTTCACCATCTTGTACATGAGCAGGCGGGTCCGCGGGTCCACGGCTTGCTCCTGTGGAGGGAGACGGGTCAGAACCGGAGCCAGAGCCGGGTCCGGAGCCCGGGACGGGTACGTACGGCGGTGGAATGCTCCTTCTTCTCGTGCAGCCCGGGCGCTGCGGCGCTGCTCGCTGTAGCAGTGCTGCTTCAGGGAGTTGAAGACCTGGTTGGACAGCTTCAGGTCCATCCCCAACCCGTCCCCCACGAGAACCTCCGGGGCGAACTGGGCCAGAGAGACAATCTGGTTATCATGACGACAACCAGAACCAGCCCAGAAGCAGGCAGATGGACTCACGTTGTCCATGCGGGCCGTGTTCTTCCGTCCGCAGGCGTCCTCGTCGTGTTTGGTGGTGATGTTCTTCCCCTTCCCACTGAAGCCTCTGCGGGCGCCGTTGGGGCTTCACTGGACCGCGCACACACACACACACACACACACACACACACACACACACACACACACACACACACACACAGGTTACCCGCTGGTCCCGGACAGTACCGCCGACCGTCCTGCAGCGGACCTCACCGGCCCGGTAGGGGTCGTGTCGTGTCCTGCCAGTCCACCTCGTCCTCTGAGCTGTCGCTGTCCTCATAAGGATGGACCTTCCGGTAGTTCTCAAAGGAGATGGACACTGCAGACAGAACCAGAACCACATGGAACCGGGTCAGAACCTCTGCACAACACAGTACTGAGCAGTCTGGACCACGAGGTTTCCCCCAGCAGGAGGATCTGGCTTCGTTTTAGTCTGAACAGATTCAGTTTTACAAGAGGCGAATCGGGAATCAGTTCAGATTGGATCAGGAATCTGGACCTGAGGTCTCAGTGGTTGTTGGGCTAAAGTTCTAATCAGAACAGCAGCCGGTCCAGAACCTGTGAAGCCGGTCCAGAACCTGTGAAGTTGGTCCAGAACCAGAACCTGCTCTACCTTTGCTGTCTCCGTTGAACTTCCTCTCCTCGCGCCGCAGCTGGTCGTCGAACTCGCGGTCAAACTGCATCTGCAGCATCTGGGCCAGCATCAGGTCGCTGTCCGTGTCCGGACCTTCCTCCGGGTCGGCTGCCGGCCTGGACCGAGCATAACTAGGTTACAGAACCCATCAAACAGGTCAGAACCAGGCGGTTTGTGTGAACCGGACTCACTGTGGGAGCGCTGGGAAGCCCTGGTTCTCCTCGTCCAGCTGCCGGGCCAGCTGCTCGCTCACCTCCGTCAGGGAGCAGGCCGGCGCCGCCGGGCCCACAGAACCCCACGGACTCTGGAAGAACAAAAAACAAGCGGTTTCTATTTGGTTCTGACCAGGTCATGTGAGGAAACCAGAATAACCCTAACCCTAAACCAGAATAAATACAGGAAGTAATCTGATTACTCCCAGGATGAGGCTGTGGAGATCTCTGCTCTGATTGCTCTTGTCCTGAGGAGGTCACCCAATCAGAGTCATGAAGGACAAGTTCCCACATGGTCAGAGCTCATTCAGGCCACGCCCACATACGATGACGTCACATACATACTAATTAAACGAATTTAAAGGTCTATTTTATCATCAGTTTTATCATCAGTAACGCCATCTGCAGTGTAATTAGGTTGACATGTTAATTCTGATTTTATATTTCATGCTTTCATCCCGAAAACCAAAATCTGGATCAAAATTTTTATTTGATTCTGGTATTGCTCTACCTTTGAAAAACCAAATAAATGTTTCCTTTGATGAAAAAGTTTCTGAAGAAAATCCATGTTTTTTTTAATCAATCACAGAACCTGGTATTATTATTGCTCTCAAACGTTTATATAATGATAATCAACTGACGTCATATGTCAACCAAAGTCTGGGATCATAAAAATAAACTGGAAACGATTTTCACTGTACTGTAAATATTTCAGGTTTCAACCAAGTCTCACGTTTTTACTTTAAACTGAATTAAAAATGTTTCTCCTGATTTGTTTCTCTGCTCTTTATTGGTCGTCCTAATTAAGCCTCGCAGTATTTAGGTTAGTTTATAAATAAATGAGTCATTTTGAGCCGTTTTGTTGGGTCTGGTTTCAGCACTGAAATATTGACTGAGGGAAACACCCAGTTATTAAATGCTATCTCCTGTCCAGCAAACATGGCCGACCCTAGAGAAACATCTAATTTAAAGAATAATTTCTCATTTTCACACGAATAAGGTTGATTTATTTTTATTTTAATTGAAAAGAACTATGTCAAAAGTTCAAGGTTTCAGCTACCAGCTAAAAGACGGAGATAAACTGTTCAAATTCAAACAAAACTAAAAATAGAAACGATAAAATGTTAAAACCTGACCTGAGCAACATGTCTGCTCACCTTCTCCGTTTGTGCTGCGACTCCTGATTGGTCCATGCTTCAGATATCGATCCTCTGATTGGTTCTTTTCGGGACGGATGATGCCTAGCTCTGGAGCTAACTGCGATTCAACTTCAACAAAGAAACGTCGGAAAAGACACGAAAACTGACCGGAAACCGAAGTGACGCAAACAGAAAGTCGCAGATTGAACTCCAGTGAATCTCAAATATGAAATGATTCAGTAGCAACAAGTTTTACAGGCGAGCTGAGATAGAAATGAGCCAGAAGAGCCACATATAACAGGGTGAACCTTAGAGGAGGAAGTGCGTCACAGCTCAATCTACATACACCACTCCTTCAGAGTAAAAGACAGTTAGTCCAAGGTGACTTTTATTTTGGTAAAAACCTTGAAAAATGCTGGAAAAAACTAATATATTTTATTATAATTTAAAAGAACCAGACTGATAATTTATGGTTGAGAATCATTTCAGTGAAAATCTGTTGAACTTAGATTTATATTCAAATTTGGATGGATTATTATTATTTTTTAAAATCCAAATAAAGCCTAATTCGAATTTAGTTTAATTAAAAACAGCCAAGTTATTGTATGTAAATTTACCTTATTTAATCAAGTCAGTCCTATAAATAAAATTGAAAAATTTACAGTATAAATCATCATCTTCAATTGAAAGAATTTACATAATTTAACAAATTTAAATACTAAATATTAGCAGATAGAGGTTAAATATTAACAAAGCAGACAAAGGGAAGTGAAATATTTACATTTTTCCTTGTCTTTTCACAAAAGACAAGGAGAACATTTTGGATTCATTATAAACTGATAAAAACCTCACCATCTCAGGCAAATGCAGGAAACTCTAAATAAATCATAAATGATTCAAATTGACCGTCATCGCAATGAAAAAGTGCGCGTCCCCGCCGGCGCGCGCTCCCAGGTCAGTCAGACCTGGGTGAGTGTGAACGCGCATCATCAAAGCTGCCAGCCAGCAGCAGGCGCGCAGGTAAGAAGAAATGACAGGAAGCAGCCCGAACAGTTGGTCGTCAAAATAAAAGCAAATGAAAGAGAACTTAAGTTCTGAGAATCTGATAAAAACATTCGATATTTCAAAAATGATGTAATCAGACAGACAAAAACCTAAATTCATGTGGGAATGATTGGATTTTAATCACCAAATGGGGAAAAAAATCTTATAAATAAGTGAATTATAAAGTGATAAAATCAGGCAAAATAAAATAATGGAAATGAATTTATGTGAATGTGATAATTACAACAGAAACTGCAGGTTTCTTCTGGTAAATATGTATTTTTGTTCAGTTTTCTCATATAGTAAAAATAAAAACAAGGAAAAGCAGTGAAGTGAAACTACAGTTACTGAAGTAACTATAACTAGTTACTCTGGTAATATGTCGCATATTTGTTCATCTGTTTTATCATATTTTGGATCCTGAAAATGTAACTGAACTTTTACAGATTTTAACTTTTATTTTTTAAGTCCTAACCGGAAGCTGTCCTGCTTATGGAGGCTGACTGGACGGAACTGGAGCATCCTGACGTCTTTTCTGAGCACAAAGTGAGATCTTTCTCCCCCTCCTCTTCCTCATCCTCCTCCTCATCCTCATCTTCCTCTCCAGCCTCTCGGACTCACAAGGACGAGCTTCCTCTCGGACTCCTCCAGGATTTATTCATTTCATTTCGGATCTCATTTCTCCTTTTTGCTTTATTTTTATTTAATGCGGGATAAGTCTGTGTTGCCCGCGGGATGCAGCCCTCCTCCTGCTGCTGCCCTCCTCCTCCTCCATCAGCAGCAGCAGCAGCAGCACCAGAGGGCCGATGGGCCGAGCAGGACGGCCGGGATTCAACCAGCGAGCAGGTCTCTGGTCTCTGTTCCTCCTGCAGGCAGGAGGTTCCTGGAGGAGCAGCAGGAGCTCCAGCTGCTCCTCCAGGAACCTCCGTCCATGTTGATGGTTCTCATCCCTCAGTGGAACCGGAACATCTGACCCGGTTCCTGCTGGAGGCAGATGGGATCAGCTGGGTGGGTGGGGTCAGTGGGGGGTCATCTGTCTGGACTGACCCTAAAAAAACGGATAACCGGAAATAAAAGCAGCAGCTCTTCAGCCCCAATGCGTAATATTTGAATTATTTGAGCTCTGAGTCCATTCTCATCTTCTGTTCATATCTGTTTGTTCATTAGAAAACTAATTATTTCCTGTTTCTGGCTGTGATTTTAAGCATGTGGACGTGAAGTAGCTGTCATGCCCAGAGCTGCCACAAGGGGCAAAAGTGAGTTAGCAGAAACCGAGTCAGAGCAGAGTCACGTGATTCCATCAGCCGTTGAAGTATCGCTATAGAAACTTTATTAAAATTCAAAATAATTTCAGAAAATGTTTTTCACTCTGGAGGCGAATTAGCGGCTAATGGATCCGCTAAAGGTTCTGAACGGTCAACGCTCCGATCCACCAGCTGCGCCTTACCAGAGGAACCAAACCCTCTGCTTCCTGTTGGTTATGTTCAGCTTTTCTTCTGTCTTTGAAACATTTTCAGTCATTTGCTCCATAGTTGGATGAAACATGGCTGCTGCTGGGTTTGGATGTGATGATCGATCCTCTTCCTGAAAAAGCCAAACTCACCGCGGGCTGTTTGTGTCCCGCAGGCTGCAGCGAGGCTCCCAACCTTTAACCTCCAGTTTGCCGATGGACCGAACCTGGAGCGGCCATGATGGGAGCAGCCGCAGGAGGAGGAGTGATGGGATGTGAATCTACGGCATCGTCTGCAGACCCGGACCGTTTCTGCGATTTAGATGATCCAACATGTCTGACGGTTTTAACGACAAACTGACGATTCCAATCCGACAGCGGAGATGATTGTCGGTCCAAACATCCTGATTGTTTTCTTCTCCTTCTGATTGTCTTTTGTTGGAGATCAACGATTGTCTCTGATCTTCAGGCCCGAACCTGAAGCAGCTTTAAGAGGAAAATAAAAACTGTGACTGGATTAGATTTATTCTGGATTAAGATGATGAACCACGTGCCTCCCGGACTGAACTCGGAGACCACGGAGAAGGCCCGGCTGGAGCTGAACGAGAACCCGGACTCTGCACCAGGACATCCAGCAGGTACCACTGGGCCGAACCGGGCGCCGGGCCGAACCGGGCGCCGGGCCGAACCGGCGCCGGGCCGAACCGGGCCGGGCCGAACCGGGCGCCGGGCCGAACCGAACAGTTTTAGAAAACGATTATTCTGTTCAAACATATTTCTTTAAATCAATTCAAACGACATTCGGTTACATTTGAACAAGATCAGGTTTGTGCATGAAATCCTGTAACTATGGCGCTGATCGTAAATGGCGTCACAGTTGCCCGGATGTTGCCCAACCTGAGTGGGAGTCTGAGCAGGTGTGATCTCCGGAGCTTCTCTCAAAGTTTACAGATTCAGAAGCTTCAGAAAACTTGATGATATTTTCTGCAGGGATCTCAGCCAGTTAGCTAACAGCGCTACTAAGCTGTCAGTGTCAGGCTAAATATTGATTCATCAATGGTTTGCACTTCATTTTCTGGTTAAATATTCAGAAAATGTCTGAATCGATCAGATTGGACAGAAGGATGTAAAACCATGGTTACCATGGCGACACAGCCTTGGATAAGGAAACTTTCATTTTCTGTCTCGTTTCGTAACGAGACAGAAAACTTTTCCCAACTTTCAGAGGGAAAAGTTGAAGTTCCTCTGATCTTCTCTGTAGGTGCGGGATATGATCGTGACGCGGCCGGATCGGCTTCCTGCGAACAGACGACGACTTCATCCTGCGCTTCCTCAGAGCCCGGAAGTTCGACCACGTGGAGACGTTCCGCCTGCTGGCCCAGTACTTCCAGTTCCGCCAGCAGAACCTGGACATGTTCCAGAGCTTCAAGGTCTGGGCTTTTATTCTGAAAGGCCCGCTTCAGGCGTTTCCTGGTTCCATTGAAGCTCATGATAAAACATGGAGGACTGGGATCATTTCAACATTCATCATTTTAAAATTAACCTGAGATCAAATGAATTTGGATTGTTTTTCAACCAAAAATAACCTTTAATGTGAAAGTAAAAACTGATTTATGCCAAATAAAGGCAATCAAATAAGAGATTGTATAAATTCATCCTTCATCAGTTCTTTGGCCTGATGATTCCAAAATGGCGTCTTTTGACAAGACGCCTCGTTTATTCGTCAGAAGAACGAGCTGAAGATCAGCGATGGTCTTTATTTTGAAGAAATCAGTTTCCACTTTGACATTAATGTTTTTATGATCAAAAAGGTCCAATTGATTGATCCATTTTGATCTGTAGAACTTCTTCAGCTTCACGAAACTAAACGTTGGCAGGGGAGATAACTGATTGATTGATTGGTTGATTGATTTATTGATTGATTGGTTGGTTGATTGATTGATCGATTGATTGGTTGGTTGGTTGATTGATTGGTTGATTGATTGGTTGGTTGATTGATTGATTGGTTGTTGGTTGGTTGATTGATTGGTTGATTGATTGGTTGGTTGATTGATCGATTGATTTGATTGATTGGTTGATTGATTGATTGATTGATTGATTGGTTGGTTGGTTGGTTGATTGATTGGTTGGTTGATTGATTTATTGATTGATTGGTTGGTTGATTGATTGATCGATTGATTGATTGGTTGGTTGGTTGATTGATTGATCGATTGATTGGTTGTTGGTTGGTTGATTGATCGATTGGTTGGTTGATTGGTTGGTTGATTGATCGATTGATTGATTGGTTGATTGATTTATTGATTGGTTGGTTGGTTGGTTGGTTGAATATTTGTGGTCTGCAGACTGACGCCGCCGTGTCTCCCCCAGGTGGACGACCCCAGCATCAAACGGGCCCTGATGGACGGGTTCCCTGGCGTGTTGGAGGCTCCGGACCAACATGGCAGGAAGATTCTCATCCTGTTTGCTTCCAACTGGGACCAGAGCCGGTAACATCTGAGACTGGGGAGAAACTGGTGAAACCCAGAAGGTTCTGAGTATCTCACTGGGTCGAACCGTCTTTACACTCTAAACATTCTGGAGGAAAATCTGGAAAAAATCCTCCAAATTAAACTAAATGAATCGTTCAGACGGATTTTCAGAGATTATTTCCGGTAAAAGCTGTTAGAGGAATCATCAGTCTGCCTCTCCAGAACCAGAACCAGAACCACAGCGTTCTGAAGGTCTCAGCAGTGGCGGCCATTGCTAATTTAAAAGCTAGCTGCGCTAACTCTGAAGTGCTAACAATAAATATTAATTCTAGTAGCACTAAATCGCTAAAATAACATTATTAATGTGAGCTTATGCTAAGTTGCTATGGCAACATAGTAGTTAGTAGAAGCTAAATTTCAGCCATATTGATGGCGACCATGTGTTATATCGCCCCCTACAGGTCAACACTGATCTGCAGTTGATCACTAAAACAATCAATGAATTTTATCCAACTAGATAAATTATAATTTATCAGGAAAATTAATTTAGGGGAAGCTAAATGTGCTAAAGCTGTTCAGTTAGTGAGAGCGCTAAGCTAAGCTAAGCTAAGCTCTTTCTAAACAATTCTTGACAGCTGTGGATCAGAACCGGTTCAGGCCCAGTGAGAGCGGCGCTGGTCTCTGACAGAACCATCCGTCTCCTGCTGCCTGGAGCTTAATGACCCGGAAGACAGGAAGCCGCTCGGCTCCCCGCTGTAGCTAACGCTCAGGGAGCGTTTACTGATCGATCGATCGATCGGCTGATCGGCCCCTCCTCCCTGCAGGAACTCCTTCATCGACATCCTGCGGGCCATCCTGCTCTCCCTGGAGGTTCTGATAGAAAACCCGGAGCTGCAGATCAACGGCTTCACGCTCATCATCGACTGGAGCAACTTCTCCTTCAAGCAGGCGTCCAAACTGACGCCCAACATCCTGAAGCTGGCCATCGAGGGCCTGCAGGTAACTGGGTTCTGATCCGGCAGGTTCTGATCCGGCAGGTTCTGATCCGGCTGGTTCTGATCCTACCGGGTTCTGATCCTACCGGGTTCTGATCCTACCAGGTTCTGATCCTACCGGGTTCTGATCCTACCGGATTCTGATCCGGCAGGTTCTGATCCGGCTGGTTCTGATCCGGCTGGTTCTGATCCTACCGGGTTCTGATCCGACCGGGTTCTGATCCCACCGGGTTCTGATCCGACCTGGTCCCCCTCCCTGAACTCTTCCGGTGTGTCTCCTCAGGACAGCTTCCCGGCCCGGTTCGGAGGGATCCACTTCGTGAACCACCCTGGTACATCCACGCCATGTACACCATCATCAAGCCCTTCCTCAAGGACAAGACCCGGAAAAGGGTGAAGGCCCTCCCTCCTCTTCCTCATCGTTTAAAGGGCCGGTACCATGTGCTGGTCATTTTTTAGCACAATCTAGTAACTATGTTGATGAAATGGGCCTCTGTCTCTTTAAGAAGCTCCTGCTCTTTTTGAAGCTCCGCCTACAGGAAGTCATCCCAACATGGCTCCTCTATTAACCCTTTAAAACGTTTCGCCAACTGAGCAGCAGCTCCCATAACAAGCTCAGCAGCTCCACCAGGTGTTTGCTAATTGCTGGTGGCTAGTCTTAAGGAGCTGAGTGGAAAAATGGTGAGCAAGCGTTTAGGCACCCCTAATGGTTGCCACGGAGATTAAAGGATTTCTAAAGAATGCATGAAAGAATAAAAGCAACTCTCCAGAAAAAGAGGGAAAATCATCGATTTTAAATGTTACCGGCCCTTTAAGAAACTGTGTCTGGTTCTGTATTGTCATTTATCCAACTTCCTCCGTCTGTTCCAAACTCACTGAGACTCTTTTCTCTCCTCATCTCGTGTTTCTCAGATCTTCCTCCATGGAAACAACCTGAACTCTCTGCACCAGCTCATCCAGCCCGAGTGTTTGCCGTCCGAGTTCGGCGGGACGCTGCCGCCGTACGATATGGGGGATGTGGCGCGGACGCTGCTGGGACCCGACTACAACGACGAGACCGAGTACACGCTGACGTACGACGCGCTGCACGTCAGGGAGAGCTGCGGCGGCGGCGGCGGCATGATGAAGAGGTGAGGAGCTGCTGCAGCGCCTTAAAGGGACAGGACACGCCTTAGTTTATTATTATTATTATTATTATTATTGTTGTTGTTGTTGTTGTTATTATTATTATTATTATTATTATTATTATTATTATTATTATTATTATTATTATTATTATTATTATTATTATTATTATTATTATTATTATTGTTGTTGTTGTTGTTGTTATACATTTATTTATGCTCTAGTAACTAGAGCATCAATAAACTGCTTCACAGTGTAAAATGTGTTGGATTTCACTCCGGCCTCCAGAGGGCGCTGTACTTATGGCAACCTCAAGAGGGCAGTGATGTCACATATCACTGCATATAGGAATATAGGACTGATATTCTATTGGTTGGAACTGTTGTTGCTGGGCGGATTGACAGACCTGCTTGGCCGGTCTGTGGTGGACGGGTTGAGTCTTTTTGTTTGCCTTTAAAGGAATCAGAACCTTTGTCTCCAATGTGGCGACAGTTTGGACCAGAACCACGAAGCTACAGGAAGAGAAACATGTTGAATAATTCATGTCATTGTTTTTAAAATGATAAAAAGTTAGCTGGCATTAGCCAGAAACTTTAGTTGCGCTAAGAATAAAAGCAACATGATATTTAGCAGAAGCTAATGCTAACGCATTAACTTAAACATTTGTTGATGTTCACCAATAGTCAATGATGCCACATGGATAGTATTTTGCCCTCTACAGGGTCAAATTGGTTATTGGACATTTGTCAGCATGTTGACTCATCAGGAAGTGATTCTTTGGAGCAAAACTCTCATGGTTTCTGTTTGACACTTGTTGAGTTTTGCTAACTGTTGCTGATTTAGCCTAATTGATCACAGCAGGTGGTACTATACGTTTCCAGATTAGTAAAAATGCTAAAAATTAGCTACACTATTAGCAGATTGAACAGTCAAACTCGTACTGTTAACCTGGAGGGATTTAAATTCAGGGATTGTTCAGGTTAATAAAAGTCTGTCATGTCCTGTTAGACATTTTTGTTGTTGTTGCAGTGAATTTTATGAAACTGATTAATTAAAACCAACGGGTCCGAGAACACAGCCCTGAGGTCCAAAAGAGTAAGTGGAACAGACGTGATGTTCAGGGTTAACTCCACGCCTCTCCTGTCCCGTCTCAGGTCTCAGTCGACTGTGGAAGCTGCGGCGCTGCGACAGATGGACAGAGAGACGAGCACGCCGCTGCTGGCTCTGGACTGACCTGGCGCTCCCATTTAAACCGGACGGGACCGGTTCAAATCCAGAGATCTGGGTTCAAATCCAGAGGTCTGGGTTCAAATCCAGAGGTCTGGGTTCAGATCCAGAGGTCTGGGTTCAGATCCAGAGGTCTGGGTTCAAATCCAGAGGTCTGGGTTTGGTCGGTTTGCTGCCTGAACTCCTTCAGCACCAGAACTCCCATTAACCTGGAGCCTCACCAACTGGTCTGAAGTCATCGGTGTTTCAGTTGGAACCTCAGGATGAGATCAGAGTTTAATTATAATTATATTCCACCATTTCATATCCATCCTCCCCGCGGCACCAATCCCAGCCCGTCTGAGCCTCCCAGCTGATCCAGTTTCCTGGCAGCAGCACCGACCCAGCAGCACCGACCCAGCAGCACCAACTGCTGCCGGACTTCATCACGTCTCAGTCTGGAAACCAGAAAAACATAAAAACATGCAGCACAAAGATTCGGCGAAGCTAATGAAACAAAACCACTTCAGGATGAATAATGTATTATACTTGGAGGCCCCGCCCTCATTGGAATTAGGCCACGCCCACATGAGAACGATTTCAACGTTCTCTCAATTGGAGAGAACGTTGAAAACAAAGTTTTAAGGAACAATAAATGGTTTTTAAAGCAGGTTTTAGGGTGAAAGCTACAGAAAAAGCTACTTTTGTGAAAATGCTGACATTAGCATCATCTGGGTTGATCAAGACAACAATGGCGGATTACAGATTTGTGGTTGGAAAAAGTTCTGGAAAAGTTTTTCATTTTGGTTTGTTTACCAACCTTGTTTTCTTGGTTATGTGTACACTCCATGTTTAGCGCCACCTACAGGTCTGGTGGAGTGAAGACTGGGGGTTTTTGCTATTGTTTGTTTGATTTAAGAGAAGGAAACGTGGCGGGCGAGCGCTGAGCCTGTGGCACCCCGAATGTGAGCAGACATTTTGGTTGACAATAAGCTGAACTGTGTTGGAGCAAATACTGAGCCCTGTGGTACACCAGAAGAGTTCTAACCATATTTTCTAAAACTGTCAAGCCTGCTTTCAAATGCTGTGAAACAGTGTTAAAGTATGAAACTTTATTTTTTAGCCCATATTTATTTTTAAGGTGTAAATTCATGTCTTGAATCAGATAAAGTTTTATCTTTCTGCGGTTGCTACGTCACGTTTGTTTACAGTTCTCTGCTGCCACCAAGTGGCCACTGGCTGAACAGCAGGCGTAAACATGGCGCCTTTTGCTGGATCTTGTTTTTTGACCCGTGTTAAGTCAAACACCTGAAGCGTCACTACAGAAACACAGCAACTGAATGATGTGCATGAAACTTTTTTAGACGCGTTTCAATCGAGACGGTTTTCAGTTAGATTGTAAAGTAACATGGCGGAGTGACGTCAGCAGGAAGTGGGAGGGTGGGTCTTCCTGTTCATGAATGAGCGTCAGGGCTTCACTCGACCTTCATGTAATGTATTTACTTTCAATGAATGTACAGAAGTAAAGATTTACACCAAGCTGCTGGTTCAGGCTTTTATTCTGAAAGTGATTTCTGAAGGTTCACTCCATCAGAACTTCCTGTTTCCTTTCCTTAAAACTTTCAGACTAAAATAATCTGAACGGCTAAACTGCGTTTTCATCCATCCTTTAGAAACTGGACTGAAAATCTCTGGTTTGGGAACAAAAGGAAAGAAGAAGAAGAGAGTCTGAAGGAGAGTAAATTAAATTAATGCCTGAAAATCTGAGTGAACTAGAGAAGCAAAAGGAGAAGAAATTATTTCCACTTCTCTTCCAGTAAAACTGAACAAACCAAACAGGAAGAAACGTCAGAACCAGACGCTAAATTTACTTTTTTTAAATTTTTTATTTTTATAAAATATTAATCATCTTTTTAACATCTTGTATTACAAAGTAAATGTGCAAAAAAAAAAAGTCAAAACCAAAAAGCTGATCAGGAGCAGAGAGGCGGAGCTAAAGTTAAGTTAAAACATGATGCAGGCTTTTATTGTGAAGGTCCAGAGCTTCAGCTGTAGTGTTTCAATAATTCACAGACAGGGATGGACTGAAGGACGTGGTTCTGGTTCATTATGAAAGGAAGTGAATGGATCCATGATCACGACGGAACACCAGAACCCGACCCGATCAGAACCGGGCTCAGAAAGCCGTCCGGGTTAACGTCCAGTCAGTAGTTTAAAACATTCATCAGTCAGGCCGCTCCTTCCATGACTCAAACCGTGGGGTCCACAGAACCGGGCCGGCAGAACCGGGTCAGAACCGGTCCTAAATGGGGCTGAGCGTCTGGCGCTGGTACTGGCTCAGCTGCGGGGTGCCAAACGTCCACGATGAGGATCAGGCGGTAGCTGTCGGCCTCCTGCCACACCTCGTGCTCAAAGGAGTCGTCAAAGATCAGGACCCTCCCCTCCTCCCACTCCCTGCCAACAGGAAGTGGACGGTGATGTCACAGGAAGTGGTTGAAACTTTGGGCCGGTGGTCCCGCAGCAGGCTCACCTGGTCTGGTTGGTGCAGCGGATCCTGCAGCCCGGCGCCGGGATGACGAGGCCCAGGTGCATCCGCAGCCTGCAGTTGGTGGGTCCGGTGTGAGGCCAGACGTGAGTCCCAGGCTGCATCACCGAGAACTTTATCTAGGCCACGGCGACAGGAAGTCAGGAGGGACAAACCAGGGACAGGAAGTGAGGAAAAAGAAAACAGTTTAAACTCTGAGATTATTAGCAGCAAAGCTATAAGACACCAAACAGGATGATTGGTTGGAGTTCCCTCCATGGCGGGAGGTTCTGGTTCTGGTCGGGTACCTGCCCTCTCTTGCAGCCCGTCGCTTCAGGAAACCGCTCCATCAGGGCGCAGGTCTTCGGGACGCCCTGGCAGGCGTTTCCCGCGTTTCCCTGGAGACACGGATCAACACCAGTTAGCCGAGGTCCGACCAGCGGTTCTGGTCGGTCCTGGTTACCGGGTCAGCACCTTGCTGCCACAGCGTGTACTGGCCCCACTCTCCTTTCTCCCTCAGGTTCTCCTCCTCAGGAAGGAAGCGGCCGCGCGCGGTCCATCACCGCCAGCGCTTCGTCCCGGATCGTCTTCCAGTTCCGCTCCAGCATCTGGACACACCGTGGTCCCGATCAGAACCGGCCCTGAGCGGTGCAGGCCCGGTTCTGACCCAGTTCACGTGGGCCCTAAGCGGTCCAGGACGGTCGTCACGGCGACGTACCCGGACCAGGTCGGTGTATCCCGTCTCCTGCGGCGTCCACCAGGGCTGAGCCTTCAGTCCTCCACGTTGTAGAGCGAGCGCTGCCACACGGAGGCGAAGTGCCCTCGCTGGTGACCCCGCTCGTACCACTGGTACGCCTGCAGATGGACCGGGTCGCTCAGTCAGAACCAGCACAGACAGAACCAACAGAGGGCGGGACCAGGGGAACCAATCCTCACTCCTGATTGGACCAAACCAGCTCAACTGCTTTCAGGTCAACCAAATTAAACTTTTCATTCAATTCTGACCCAGTTCATGTGTTCATGTCCCTTTAACCCAAACCATGGATGAATGAATGAATCAGAAAGCGACACCTTGTGGCCTGCTCACAGAACTGCATACATCTGACCTTTAAAATCCAGAAAAAAAGCAATAAAATCCAAAAAACACAAAATATTAAAAACAATCCAGGTATAAAATAAAATTAAATTGATTAAATTAAATTTTATCAATTAAATAATATTTTAATAAAATCCAAATAGATTCCAGTGCAAACCAATAATCCCAATAAATTGTAAATTAAATTAAATAAATTCCAAATAGATTCTAAATAATATATTTTTCGGCATTCTAGATCATGTTTGTTACATAACTACAATTTTGTCTTGAAACTCCCTTCAATATCAATAAAAACTTTTTAAAACACATAAAACATTAATAAACATAAATAGTGACTTTTTTTCATTAGGAAGGAAAAGCTGAGAAAATAACTAATGAAAATGTTCAGTTATGGGGAAACAGCACCACCTGGTGGACAAACATGGACATTACAGCATTTAAAGAAACGCGTCAGCAGAAATGTTTTAAGTTTGAAGTTTTTGTTCTGATGAACAAATGTGACTCTTTTTTGACATTTTAAGCTAATTTAATAATTTAAATAAGTGAAAACATGAGCAACATTCATTCAGTGGAGGAGAAATTGTTGCTCAGTTCTGATCTGTTCATGAAGCAGTTTTAACTAATAACTGATGATTTCCTGATTATAACTGATATTGATCAGTCACTCACGCTGTCGTCTCCGACTCGCTGCAGAGCGTCTCCCAGGTGGAAGTAAAACCTGCCGTCGTCGGTTCCCGGCTCGCCGGACTCCAAGCCTTCCTGCAGAAACGGGGTGGGGAGGGGCGATGGTCATTCCTCATTAATAATCAATAACGCAGTGAGCCAAAGCTGCCTGACCCACCCTGAGGAACGGGATGCTCTCTGCGATCCTTTTTCCGCCTTCAGGATGAAGCCGTAGTGAACCTTGGCAAACCCGTTGCTAGGGGCAACAGCAAGGACCTGGGGGCGGGGCAAACGACACGCAGCCAATCAGCAGGGAGCTTAAAACCCGAAACAGGAGCGTCTGAGCGAGCGAACCGACGCACCTCTTCGTAAACCTTCTTGGCTCCCTTGTTGTCGCCTAGCAGCAGGTGGGCGACGCCCAGGTCGTTCCTCAGGTCGACGTCGGGGGAAAAACGTCGACGAGTTTCTGCAGCGTCGCCGCCAGCGACCCCCGCATCCGACCTGGGAGCAACGCAACATGAACTTTGACCCCAGGGTCCGGCCTCCACATGCAGATCAAAGAAGAGATTCTACTTCCTGTTCCTGTTTTTAACATTTACGTCAAAAATCATATGAAATCCCAAACTACCCAATTACATCCACCCAAATAAAAATAAAACTGAAAATATCCTAATAAAATTAAATGAAATCCAAATAGATTCCAATTCAAATCCATCAAACTCCAAATAAAAACGAAATCCAGATAGATTACAGAAAAGCAATAAAATCCAATGAAACTTCAAATAAAATTAATTAAAAATGCAAAAATATCCAAATAAAATTAAATGAAATCCAAATAAATTAGCAAAAGTCCCAAAGAAATTAAACTAGAATCCAGTGAATCCAAATAAAATCCAATTCAAATCCAACGAAATCTAAATTAATTCACAGGAGAAACGCTGAGTTTAGAGCATCGACATATTAAACCCGGGTCCCGGTCCTGACCCGGTCCGACCGGTCCTGACACTGTTGTTACCTAGGAACTGCTGCCTCTCAGCTCGTCTCTTCAGCGCTGCCCTCAGCAGGTCAGAGGTCACGTCAGGCAGCTCTGCGGCCTCTCCGTACGTGTTGATGGCGCTCTGCAGCAGATCGTTGCTGCGCAGCTTCTCCGCCAGATCGTCCTGCACCTGCCGGGTCGACACTGTGTTACGGACCAGAACCGGCCCGGCGCTGCGTACGGCCCGGCGCTGCGTACGGCCCGGCGCTGCGTACGGCCCTCCTGTACCCTACCTGGGCCTTCCCGTAGCGAGCGCGCGGGCTCAGAGGGTGCTGCTGGACCAGTGAATCAAACGCCTTCAGGGCCAGGTCCAGGTTCCCCTGAGGAAGAGGAGGAAGAGGAAGGTCACGGCGTGGATCAGCCGGAGGAAGAGGAAATGTCTCCCGGTCGGTTCCTCTACCTTCTTCCTCAGCCTCTCCCGCCGCATCGATCTCTGATTTGATGCTTTATCCATCTTGTTCAGCAGTTTGGGTTTCTTCTTCTTTGCTGGAGGACCAACAGAACGACGAAGGAGATTAAATAAAACCACAGAAGAAGATTTCATGATTTTATTTTTACCTTTTTCCTTCTGCTCCTCGGCCGCTTTCTCTGCTGCTCCTGACCCACA